GCTCTCAGGTGCCATCCGCAGCCCTGGTGGGACTGGCCTGGTGCAGAGTGGGGTTTCCCCATGGGATAGATGGATGCTGGGACAGTGGGAAAGAGGTGGGAGAAGCAGGGAGCTCGTGTTAGCTCCGTTCATGGCAGTGGTGGGGCTCTTGGCCCACAGGTCCTTGTACAACCCATTAACCAGCAGGCAGAGCCCCACTAGGAGCTGTGCTCATCGTGGACCATCACTGCTGGCCAGAACTCCATGGAATACTCAGGGAGCTGTGGTTCTCCATGCACATCATGAGGGATGGGGTGAGCACACACCTGGTTTTCCAGGCCCAGCCCTGAGCAGATGGGTTTCCATTAGCACTGTTGGGGCTGTATCCGTGTTTCCAAGGGGGAAGTCACTGCCTGAAGGGCTGGGGGGAATCCTGGCACCAGGTTGGGTTTTCCAACCTCAGGAGGGGAAAACTGGCTGCAAATACGATAGAAAAGAGCGGATTAAACCCAGAGGCCCAAGGGGTGGGAAGCTTCATTCAAGCCCTGCCTGCACTGGCTCCACTGAACCTTGGGCTCCTTCTTGGTTGGATGCAGCCTCTGAGGGAAGGGCTTTTGCCATCTGTGCCTCATCTGATGGCTTGGACAAGGAGAGACGTCCCAAACACATGGAATTGCTCCCGGTATTCCCTGGGCTTGGATTTCCCCCCCTGCAAAACAGTGGCTGGAAGAGGCCAGGGCTGTGAGCAGGGCAATGAGGCACCCCTTTGGCTGCAGGACCTCATCTCCCCTCCCATCCCCAAGCATGGGCAATGGCACCATGGCAGGGTGGTTGCAGGGATCCTGCTCTATCCTGGTGCCCATGGGAGATGCCGGGCCCCCAAAAGCAAAAGCCATGGAGGTCTTGAGCCACCCAAGTGCTGAGCTCAAGCCTGGGCACTGCCGTGGTTTCTTGCCTCTCTCCTCTTCCCTTTGCAGGGCAAAGAGACAGCACCAGGGAGCAGCCAGGTCCTGCTCGCAGCAGCAAAGAGGATGGGGATAAGACATGGCCACTGCTTGGGCATCCAGGTCATAGAATCATAGAACAGTTTGGGTTGGAAAGGACCTTAAGATCATCCAGTTCCAACCCCCCTGCCACGGGCAGGGACACCTCACACTAAACCATGGCACCCAAGGCTCTGCCCAGCCTGGCCTTGAACACTGCCAGGGATGGAGCATTCACAACCTCCCTGGGCACCCATTCCAGTGCCTCAGCACCCTCACAGGAAAGAATTTCCTCCTTATATCCAATCTAAACTTCCCCTGTTTCAATCTTGACCCATCACCCCTTGTCCTATCACTACAGTCCCTAATGAAGAGTCCCTCCCCAGCATCCCTATAGGCCCCCTTCACACACTGGAAGCTGCTCTGAGGTCTCCACGCAGCTTCTGTTCTCCAGGCTCAACAGCCCCAATGTTCTCAGCCTGGCTCCATACAGGAGCTGCTCCAGCCCCTGAGCATCCTCGTGGCCTCCTCTGGACTTGCTCCAACAGCTCCATGTCCTTCTGATGCTGAGGACCCCAGACCTGCACACAGTGCTGCAAGTGGGGTCTCACGAGGTCCTGCTTCATCTTGGGGGCAAACCCACTTTAGCCCAAAGGCTCCTCTCTCACTAGCTGGGGTTAATCCAGATCTGGATCTAAGGGACCCCAGCAGTGTCTGTGTTGCATTTACCCCCTGTTACGCAGTAGCTGGAGCATTGGGGTCCATGTGGTGGGCTGAGAGGCTGCTACAAAGGAGCCTCCATTCCCGTCTCAGCCCCGCTCCGGGGCTCAAGGCCACCGTTGTGTTCCCGTCCTTCTCCTGCCTCTGTGGTGCCACCAACAGGAGATGCTGAGACAGTACCCAGGGCACCTCAGTGAAGGTCCCGGTGTTTCTCATGGCCAGCAGGATTCCTTCCATGATATCAGCCTTTGTCTTCCAGGCCGGAGGGCCGAGCATCCTCCTGTGCTGCCAGGAACACCAGGAGGCTGCAGCATCTCCCATCCACCTCCTTCTCCTGCCCCATCTCCAAACCAGTGTGGGCCCGTGCTGCTGCATGGGGGTGAGAGGGTCTCTGGGGGGGTCTTTTGGACCAGGGCGGTGTGGGTTAGACACCAACTTCAGCTGATGGAGGAGCACGGGATCAGCTTCCCACAGCGGATGCAGGGGCTGTAATCCCACTGCCCCCCCCCATCCCCACAGACCCATCTTGGGGGCTGTTTCCTCCACATCCCTTGGGACAGGGCTGACTTCCCACACATGAGGGAGAGAGAACGGTGAGGAGATGGGATTGGGAATGCTCAGGCTCTCAGCATCCATTCACACACATGGGTTGGTCCAGATCCAGACAGAACCGGCTCCCCTTTACCTTCTGAGGCACACAGGGCTTCTGCTCTGGCACCCCAGTAACCCAGGGGGTGGTTCAGGACCTGGTGCAGAGGCTGCGCCTTCCTCTGCATCCCTGTGAACCAGGAGGAAAACGGGACAATGGAAACCTCTGCTGCTTCTGCTGCCATTGGAGTGAGGCCAGAGGAGGCCATGGAGCTGCTGCAAGGGCTGGAGCAGCTCTGCTCTGGAGCCAGGCTGAGAGAGCTGGGCTGGGGCAGCCTGGAGAAGAGAAGGCTCCTGAAGGGGAGACCTGAGAGCAGCTCCAGTGCCTGAAGGGGCTGCAGGAAACCTGGAGAGGGGCTTGGGACAAGGGCCTGTAGGGACAGGCCAAGGGGAATGGCTTGAACCTGCCCGAGGGGAGACTGAGCTGAGCTCTTAGGCAGAAGCTCTTCGCTGGAGGGTGCTGAGGCGCTGGCACAGGGTGCCCAGAGAAGCTGTGGCTGCCCCATCCCTGGCAGTGCTCAAGGCCAGGTTGGACACAGGGGCTTGGAGCAAGCTGCTCCAGTGGAAGGGGTCCCTGCCCATGGCAGGGGTTGGAGCTGGATGGGCTTTAAGCTCCCTTCTACCCAGCTGTGGCTCTATGATTTGCTTCCACCCCAAATGAATTATTGCTTGAAGCCACTGATGCTACATTTAGCTTCTATGTTTTACCTCTTATAAACACATCTCCTTTTTTCTTCTTCATATTAACTGAGCCCATGACACTGGCATGGAGTCACCTCCCAGCTCTCCCATTAACCTTCTGAGCCTGTGGCACAAGCCATTTCTTTATATTAAATGGAGATTTTCTTTGTAAAGAGCTTGGTTTTCTAAAGGACACCCCGGTGGCACAATTAGCATTGCAATAAAGGGAATTAGCACAAGGATTTCAGCTCAGTAACTGGAAGGAAGCAATTCTGTGAAGAAGTGTGCACCTTAAACCTCTTTGTGAAGCTCTAGACCTGGGCTCAGACAATCAAAAGGAGCGTGACCAGCAGGGTGAAGGAGGTGATCCTGCCCCTCTGCTCTGCTCTCATGAGACCCCCCTTGCAGCACTGTGTCCAGTTCTGGGGTCCTCAGCATCAGAAGGACATGGAGCTGTTGTAGCAAGTCCAGAGGAGGCCACGAGGATGCTCAGGGGCTGGAGCAGCTCCTGTATGGAGCCAGGCTGAGAACATTGGGGCTGTTGAGCCTGGAGAAGAGAAGCTGAGTGGAGACCTCAGAGCAGCTTCCAGTGTGTGTGAAGGGGACCTATAGGGATGCTGGAGAGGGGCTCTTCATCAGGGACTGCAGTGATAGGATAAGGGGTGATGGGTTCAGACTGAAACAGGGGAAGGTCAGGTTGGAGATAAGGGAAAAGCTCTTTTCTGTGAGGGTGCTGAGGCACTGGAATGGGTTGCCCAGGGAGGTTGTGAATGCTCCATCCCTGGCAGTGTTCAAGGCCAGGCTGGACGAGGCCTTGGGTGCCATGGTTTAGTGTGAGGTGTCCCTGCCCATGGCAGGGGGTTGGAACTGGATGAGCTTAGGGTCCTTTCCAACCCTCCCTGAGCTGCTGCTCACACTCTGGGGGTGCAGCCCAGCACACGGGGGGGTTCTGGGCTCAAGCGCTCACTGAAGCCGGGTCATGGGGAGCTGCTCCTCACCCAGCACCCCAAGCCCATAACTGGTCACTGCCTCCATGTGCCACCATTCACCAGCACCCTCTGGGCCTGGCCATCCACCCGGGTTTCACACACCAGGAAGCCGCTGTCAGGCCATGAGCAGCCCGAGGCCGTGCCCGCCCCCTCGGTCGCCATCGCTCCGCTGCACCGCGGTACCCGCTGGGAGCTGTGCTCCGCGCATCCTGCATCCACTGTTGCCATGGCGACCGCGAGGGGCGAGCGGCTGCAGCGGGGTGAGGGCGGGCACCGCCGGCGGGACCGGGAGAGGGTACGGGGATGGGGCCGGGCGGTGAAGGTGTGGGCAGGAGGGGGAATGGGGCTGAGGGATGGAGCTGAACGTGAGCAGCTTGTGCCCAGGGAGCCCCCAGCATCCTGGCCTGGATCAGCACCAGTGCGACAGCAGGGCCAGGGCAGGGATTGTGCCCCTGCACTGGGCACCGGTGAGGCCGCACCTCGGATCCTGTGCTCAGCTCTGGGCCCCTCACTGCAAGAGAGACATTGAGGGGCTGGAGCGGGGCCAGAGAAGGGAATGGAGCTGGTGCAGGGCCTGGAGCCCAAGTGTGATGGGGAAGGGCTGAGGGACCTGGGGGGTTCAGATGGAGAAGAGAAGGCTCAGGGGGGACCTGATGGCTGCCTCCAAGTGCCTGAGAGGAGGATGGAGCCAGGAGGGGCTGGGCTCTGCTCCCAAGGAACAAGGGATGGGACAAGAGGAACCGGCCTCAAGCTGCACCAGGGCAGGTTTAGATGGAGCTGAGGACCAATTCCTGCCCCAGAGGGTGCTCAGGCATTGGAACAGGCTGCCCAGGGCAGGGCTGCAGGCACCGGCCCTGCAAGGGTTCACACCCCATGGAGACGAGGCCTCAGTGCCATGGTTCGGGGTGCCCCTGGCCCCGCACGGTTCATGTCTGCACCCAACGGTCCCAACGCTCGCTCCCCTCCCGGCTCCTTCCGTGGCTCCAGGACGATTCCTCCCGCGCGCTCCCGTCGCCCCCCGCGCGCAACCACTCAGGAGCGCGCACGTCGCGTCGGAAGGGCGGAGACAAGATGGCGGGCAAAGGCGGCAGGACTGGGCTGCTCGACAAGGTACCGCTCTGTGGGGGACCCCGGCCCCGGTCCCTCCCGGTCCGACCCGCAGCTCCTGCATCCCCTTCCCGTTGTTTCCCTCCCTCGGTGTCACCCCCAGGTCTCTGCTGTGCGCTCGGAGCCCACCCAGCGCAGCCGCCCCCCTCCTCGGGCCTCAATGGGGCCACCGCTCACTGCTGAGGGGCAACCCCCGCCTCAGCCGCGGGGGGCTCCGCCGCGGCCTCCTCGTAGGAGCCGGGCAGTGAACGGCAGAAGAGGCCCCCGGGGGAAACAAGGAGGGAGGAAGCGATGTGCGGGCGAGCACGTCCGGCCGCCGAAGTGGCAGCCCCGGCGAGATCACTCGGGGCTTGGGTTTGCCTTTTCCAGGTTGGTTTGAGGCCTGCCCGGCCTCCGGCTGCAGGTCCAGCCGTGCTGTCCTCGGGGGTGCTTGCCGGGGAAGCGGTGCTGGTCGTGGCAGGCAGAGCAGAGCCTGGTATTAAGCCCAATCTGGAATCGGTGCTTTAAAGGAGCGGGATTGTTGAGTGGGCTTAAGCGCGGCTCGGTTTGAAGGGGTCCGGTGTTGGTTGTAGCTCTTTGTGATGTTCGGCAGTCTGATAGCTGAAACTAAGGACCTGGAGGCTGCTATTGGTGTTATTGTTGTTGTTATGACAGGCTGAGGACGTTGGGGCTGTTGAGCCTGGAGAAGAGAAGCTGCGTGGAGACCTCAGAGCAGCTTCCAGTGTCTGAAAGGGGCCTATAGGGATGCTGGGGAGGGCTCTTCATTAGGGACTGCAGTGATAGGACAAGGGGTGATGGGTTCAGACTGAAACAGGGGAAGCTCAGGTTGGAGATAAGGCAGAAGCTCTTCCTTGTGAGGGTGCTGAGGCGCTGGCACAGGGTGCCCAGAGAAGCTGTGGCTGCCCCATCCCTGGCAGTGCTCAAGGCCAGGTTGGACACAGGGGCTTGGAGCAAGCTGCTCCAGTGGAAGGGGTCCCTGCCCGTGGCAGGGGTTGGGACTGGATGAGCTTTAAGGTCCCTTCCAGCCCAAACCAGTTTGGGATTCAGGGCAGTTTATTTGGCATCTTTCATTGAACTTCAAACCGGAGCTGCCTGCAATTGAAAACACTTTGCTTTTCATCAGTATGTGTATATTCATAATCTCTAAAGGCTACAGTTTTGTTGCCTCAGTTCAAGGTGATGTTATCCTTCCTGGGCCTAAGAGTTCGGTGGTTTTTCTTCAAAGCAGCAGCTTAAGTTGTTGAGAGGATGCTTTAGGGGAAGATGTGCTTATGAAATATTTCTCTCTCTTCTGCAATGTGGTCAGCTTTCAGTTTTGAAATGACAAGTCCTTTGTGGTTCAATTTGAAGAGCTCTGGGGCGCAGCGTGCAATGGAGGCATTCTGCTGCCTTGTTCCATGGAATCTCAGGTTATTTCAGGATGAGGAGCAGTTGTAGGTGAAGGAGACACAGTTTTGGTGCAGGAGCTGAAGCCTTCAGTGAGAAGCATGAATAGTTTCTGCAGGGCTTCTACCTGAAATACATACACACACTCAGTAGCGTTGTGACTTCTTTTCCCTCTGTCACCACACTGATCTATGTGCCTTCATTTCCTCTCCCTGGATGACTTCACTGAACTCCAGTCATTTCTGTGAGCTGGTGTATATACTGCTGAGGTTTTATCTGGAGAGTTGTGCCCTTAGGTCCATAACTTGTTCACGCTTTTCTCAGACAGAGAAGTGATGGGTTATTGGCAAGGCTTTGAAGTCGATGGCCAGGTTGGTGTTTAGGGTATCTTCTTGTACTTCACTAGTAAGCTAAATCAGAGTGAGCTCAGGGAGATCTGTCATTTAACTAACCTAATTTTTGTCCTTCTCATGTTCTCTAAGTGTCTGTGATAATCAGGTAGCTCCTCCCAGCCTCTAGGAACCAGGACCACCTAATGCAGCAGTGACCACAGTCCTCCCAAACACCTGGAGATTTCACCCATGTAGCACACACCGAGTTACCAACCACACTGCTGCTACTAGAGTGAAACCTTGGAAGGTTTTGCAAGCTCCAGGACTAAACCCACTTGTTGACTGCCAGCTCTGTGACTTCCCCCTGCTCCTGTGCCACAGAAGCTGCTCTCTAGTGCTGGAGGATGTTGTCTGGGAGTGCAGCAGTGGTAATCTGGGAAGAGTGAGGTCCAGAACTTCATCCTCCAAGGCAGAGGCTGAGCCACCTGGAGCTGAGAACAAGCCACACTGACTCACTGGAGTCTGCTGCAGCTCTTCCTTCAGGAGGATGAGGAGGGAACTGACCTGCAGTGAGGTGTCACTGGCCTCTGCCACTTCCACATCTCATTTATGCCAGGCTCACGGTGTACCACGTCACTGTTACCTTGGAATTTATAGGAGACTATGGGTTGGGACTCAGCTGGGAGCCTCGAGGGAGGTGATGTGCATCATGTGCTGAGGCTCTTTCATCCTCCCTCAGCCACAGCGTTGTGTGGCCTGGTTAGAATAGTTTCTGACTCAAAGTTTTAGGAAGGGAGGTTCCTTTTTTTACCATCCTTGTAATAAAAAGCACAGATTAGATGCAGAAACATTATTGCCCTTGAAGAGTTTATATAGTCTGCACTGATGTTCCTCTTGCAGTAGCAACAAACCTTTTTTTACTGTATGATTTATTTATGATTGTAATACCCAAAGTGCACCATAAGCTTGAGAGCAACATTTGAAGAGACAAGCTAGCTCCCCAGAAGATGTTGCAGGCTAAACTTGATATAAGTGAGGCTGACAGAAGTGGTAGGAGGGGAAAATATAGTGAAGTCTATGCTATGTCTTTATGATGTGAGCATCTTGGAATGTCTCCTGTATTATTCTTCCCTCCTCCTGCTTATGAGGGAGCTTTGGAAAGGGATTAAATGAAGGTGATGGCTCCAATCCTGCAGTGTCTGCTGCAAAAGCTGTTCTGCTGTCCCTGCTTTTGGAGATAAGAGGAGAATCTTGCCTGCTGCAGGCAGCTTCTGTACTCACACTGTTACTTCTGGTGTCAGATTGGGTTTGTGGTGTTCTGAAATTACATTTCTGATTTCAGTCTTTAGTTTGAAGTAAGGTCACCATTTCAGCTTTTCCTTTAAGGCCTTGTTCTTACATGGGTGCTAAATCCACTTTCTGGCTGTAGAACATCATATTTGCTTCCCATCCAGTAGAGGATATGCTCAGGACAAGTGTAATAACCTTCCACTTGGTTTTTAAACTGAAGGAGTCCAAACAGCCAAACTGAAGAGCTGTTTACAGCTGGCTGGGGGGGTTTCCCTCCATCAGGCTGGAATGAAAACCTGAGGTTTTGTTTTGAAGCCTTTGGAAGTGCTCAGAATGAACAACTGGTTGGAAAACACCACCCCCAGGCAGAGGAGCAGATGTGTTTGCATCTGCCAGGCTCCATGGGACATGGGTGCAGCTTTACCTTCCCTGCACAGCCAGGCAGGGCTGTTCTGCAGACCCAAGAGGTGATGGAGGCTGGAGAGGGTCCCAGGAAGGGCCACAAGGATGGTCCAAGAACTGGGCAGCAGTGAGGAAAGGCTGAGAGAGCTGGGACTGTGCAGCTGGAGAAGAGAAGGCGCAGGGAGACCTGATCCATGTGCCAGAGGTAAAGGGGGATGCAGAGAAGATGGAGACTCCCTTTGGACAAGGAGTCCCATGGGAAAACTGAAGGGTGATGGGCACAAGTTACTGCTGGGAGATTCCCACTGGACAAAAGAGGAAAACATTTCCCAGTGAGAAAAACAAGCCATTGGAATAATCTCCCTGGGGAACTGGTGACTCCCCAACAGTGAACACTGTTAAGATTAGCATGGACAGGGTGCTGGATAGCTAGTGTAGGTCATGCTGTGCCTGGAAAGGGTGAAGGAGATGATCCTTGAGGTCCCTTCACCTGAGTATTCTGATTCCTCTGTCTGAGGGTAAGCACTTGGTGACAGCAGCCAAATCTCTGCCAGTGCAGCATCCCAGCCTCTCCCAGCTCTTTGGTCCTGCAGATCAGCCTGGAAGAACCAGAGAAGCAGCAGCAGCCGCCCTGCAGAGCTGCAGCATGTAAGGAGAAGTCATCTCAGGGAACATCTCAACCAAGGTAAAGGGAGAGCTAAAGCTTCTGGCTGAAGTCCCAAACTGTGTCCCTGTTACAAGTTCCTTTGACGTGAATCCCCTGGGATTGTCGAGCTGTTTCTGTTTTGAACCAGCAGAGCCTCAGATACGAGGAACTGAGGAAGAACTGCTGGTTCAGCTCGTTGTTTCAGATAGCCTAAGATTAGATCCTTTTTGTCCCTCAGTAACAGCTTTATCTCAAAACATGTGTCATGTGGGCTTTACATCTACCCTTAAAGTGCTGGTTCTCTGTTAGAGATCTGCGTCAGTTAAATATCACCGATGTTATCCAGCCATTCCAGTGTCAGGTGGTGTGGGAGAGAAAGCAAGAAGCAAGAATCCAGCAAGAATTCCTGCTCTGGATCCACCTAAGAGCTCTTTCCCAGTCTGTCTCCTGCCAGGGAAGGGAAATGAACTCCTTTGGTAGTTAATAAATCCAACATGGGAGCTCCAGGAGCAGGAAATGCCATAAGTGGAGTTGAGGATTGCTTCTAACAGCAGCTAAAATTCAAGCTCCAGTCACTCAGCTGGTCGAAATGACACACAGGGCTCAAACTCACATGTCCAACTGTGGCTAAAAGGACTAATACCACCAAAAATAATATCATTCCAGGGAAAAAAGCCCTTTTGAGGAACTGAGCTGTTGCATCTGACTTTCATGGTTGAGAAAGGACCTGTTTCTGTGGAAAACCTGGATGTAGAAAAGCAGAAGAGACTTTTGGTTTCATTCTGGAGGGTGGTTGGACTGAAACTTCATTTCTTGTGGTGCATTTGGATTCTCCCCTTGTACTGGGTTGTTAAAGGAACCTTGAAATTCTTCCTTCTGTCATCAGCCCCCTAAGAGTGTTTGCCACAGCTTGGCTGGAGAGCAGGAATGCATTCAAAGGCAAGAGTTAAGTCCTAACAGATGCTTTCTGCAGCAAATACAGAACCAAAACTAGAGTAAAACTGATGTAAAAAGTCGCTTTTTGGGTGTCTGTCATAAGGTTTAAAAGCTTAAATCCATAAAGGTAATGGGTAGGATGGTGCTGAGGTGGTGGTGGCTGTGACACGACTGTGTAATCCAGTGGATCATTCCCATCACTGGTCCGCTTTTCCCAACCAGGCTGCTGTTGTCTGGGTTGTCTCCCAACTTTGTGCTCATGACACAGGATTGAAATGAAAAGCCACTTCTGTTTTTAACTCCCTTTTGTTTCGGTTGCAGTGGAAGATAGATGACAAACCAGTGAAAATTGACAAATGGGACGGTTCAGCTGTGAAAAATTCCTTGGACGATTCTGCCAAAAAGGTAGTGCCTGTAACCCCTGATCATAAATCATGGAGTGGGTTGGGTTGGAAAGGATCATAAGATCATCCAGTCCCAACCCCTGCCATGGGCAGGGACCCCTTCCACTGGAGCAGCTTGCTCCAAGCCCCTGTGTCCAACCTGGCCTTGAGCACTGCCAGGGATGGGGCAGCCACAGCTTCTCTGGGCACCCTGTGCCAGCGCCTCAGCACCCTCACAGGGAAGAGCTTCTGCCTTATCTCCAACCTGAACTTCCCCTGTTTCAGTCTGGACCCATCACCCCTTGTCCTATCACTGCTGTCCCTATGAAGAGTCCCTCCCCAGCATCCTTGTAGCCCCCTTCAGACACTGGAAGCTGCTCTGAGGTCTCCACGCAGCTTCTCTTCTCCAGGCTCAACAGCCCCAATGTTCTCAGCCTGGCTCCATACAGGAGCTGCTCCAGCCCCTGCTCATCCTCGTGGCCTCCTCTGGACTTGCTCCAACAGCTCCACCTCCATATGTTGAGGACCCCAGAACTGCACCCAGTGCTGCAAGTGGGGTCTCATGAGAGCAGAGCAGAGGGGGAGGATCACCTCCTTTGACCATGCTCTATGGTGATACTCATTTTGCATCACCTGCTGCTCAGTTTATCCATGTAATTGAGTCTGGTTTGTCTAAATCCATTCCAGAAGCAGTTGATCCCATTTATGAGAAGCACAAAACAATCTCAGCTCCATGTTTCTCCCTCAGGTTCTCCTGGAGAAGTACAAGTACGTCGAAAACTTCCGCCTGATCGACGGCCGCCTCATCATCTGCACAATCTCGTGTCTCTTTGCCATTGTAGCTTTGATTTGGGACTACCTGCACCCCTTTCCTGAATCCAAACCTGTTCTTGCCTTTTGTGTTGTATCATATCCTTTGCAGATGTTCACATTTATATCAAAAAGGGTTTATTTTCCCCACAAAGCACAAAACCCCTTTTTCTCCGTATTCCCAGTTTCAGGCCTGGGGGAATTTTACTTCGCATGGTGTGGAGATCAGCTGATAATCAAATAGTTTCCATGTGATGGCAAAATTCCTGCCTGTCTGGGTGTGACACAATGAAATCTGGAACATGTGTGGGTCCAGCCTTGCAGCATGGCTCACAGAGAGGTCACAGCTCCTGGGCTGCTGATCTGCTCTCTAGACCTCAGACATGTGGAGACTGCTCCACTTTGATGTGTTAATCCCAAAATGAAGATCAGCTGTTGAAAGCTTCAGGGGGTTGTTTTGGGATTGATTTTGTATTTATTCTGTCCATAGTCTGGTTACAGGGGGGAAATCTGCTTTTTACCTATGCAACACATCAGGTATGAGTGTGCAGAGTGAAGCTTCTCTGGGCACCCTGTGCCAGCGCCTCAGCACCCTCACAGGGAAGAGCTTCTGCCTAAGAGCTCAGCTCAGTCTCCCCTCGGGCAGGTTCAAGCCATTCCCCTTGGCCTGTCCCTACAGGCCCTTGTCCCAAGCCCCTCTCCAGCTTTCCTGCAGCCCCTTTAGGCACTGGAGCTGCTCTCAGGTCTCCCCTTCAGGAGCCTTCTCTTCTCCAGGCTGCCCCAGCCCAGCTCTCTCAGCCTGGCTCCAGAGCAGAGCTGCTCCAGCCCTCGCAGCATCTCCATGGCCTCCTGTGGACTCACTCCAACAGCTCCACGTCCCTTTTGTGTTGGGGGCAATGGCAAAGATTGATGAAAATCTCCCAGTGAGTATTTAATCTCTCATGTTCATGAGGAACTGGTGTATTTGGAGCAATGGTATCATGAGAGGTGGTTAAATGCTGGTGTCTGAGGGGATCCATCCAATTTCTCTGCCATATTTCTGCTTCCAATTGCAGCTCCTTAGTTTCCTTAACTTCCCTTTGCACATACTTTGTGATGATGGGAATCCTGACCATCTATACCTCATATAAAGAAAAGAGCATTTTCCTTGTAGCTCACAGAAAAGACCCCGCGGGGATGGACCCCGACGATGTTTGGCAGCTCTCCTCCAGTCTCAAACGGTATCTTGGGATTAGTGGGAATGCAATACCAGCATGGCTTTGGGTTGCCTGTGCTACCATGGGCAGCACAGCTGTGTTTTGGGAAGGGAATGAAGTGAAAATGAAGGGAAAATATTGGTGTTTGTGGAGTGGGGATGTGGGCTTTCCACAAAGGAATGGCGACCAAGTCATGATCTTGGTGGGTTTCCAGGCAGTTTCATAGAATCATGGATTGGTTTGGGTTGAAGGGAGCTTAAAGCTCATGCAGCTCCAGCCGCTGCTATGGGCAGGGACCCCTTCCACTGGAGCAGCTTGCCTGGCCTTGAACACTGCCAGGGATGGAGCATTCACAACCTCCCTGGGCAACCCATTCCAGTGCCTCAGCACCCTCACAGTAAAGAACTTCTTCCTTAGATCCAATCTAAACTTCCCCTGATTCAGTCTGAACCCATCACCCCTTGTCCCATCACTGCAGTCCCTGATGAAGAGTCCCTTTCCAGCATCCTTGTAGCCCCCTTCAGACACTGCAAGGCTGGATCTGTGATTAATATTCACCAGAGGATATTATCACAGGGAAGCACCATATGTGCATGTGGAGAAGTTAATCATGAGAAGTATAAAACCTTTAATCGTGTTATCATTAACACCCACATGCTGCAGCTCTTAGTGCCCATGTGGGCACCTCCACCCTGGGGACTTCCACCTTAATAAAGATGAGGATTTCTCCTCACCGAACCATGGAATCAATGAGGTTGGAAAAGCCCTTTCAGCTCATCCAGGCCAGCCGTTGCCCATCAGTGCCAAGGCCACCACTGCCCCATGGCACTGAGGCCTCATCTCCATGGGGTGTGAACCCTTGCAGGGCCAGTGCCTGCAGCCCTGCCCTGGGCAGCCTGTTCCAATGCCTGAGCACCCTCTGGGGCAGGAATTGGTCCTCAGCTCCATCTAAACCTCATCTCCTTGCTGTTGTCTCAGCAAAGCCAGGCTCAAGCTGTGCTTTCCCTGGCCCTGCAGGTTTGATGACAAATACACCCTGAAGGTGACGTTCATCAGCGGCAGGACCAAGCAGCAGAGGGAAGCCGAGTTCACCAAATCCATTGCCAAGTTCTTCGATACCAACGGCACGTTGGTGATGGAGGCCTACGAGCCCGAGGTATCCAAGCTGCACGACAGCCTGGCCACGGAGAGGAAAACCAAGTGACCGGGATGCTGCTGGGAATGTGCTTGGTGAACACCAATAAAGCACCATGACCAGAGGGAATCGTGTGTGTCCTGAGCCCCTAAACTGTTCTGCATGAGTTGGGAGCGTTTATATCGTATCCAGCTCTCTTGGATTAGGATCCATGATTATAATCTTGAAGCCAGGCTTTTTAAAATCAAATCCCAGATGGTTTTCATCCTGAATTTGGGATTTATGTTCTCAAATCCAGGGTTTTTCAGTCTTGAGTCCTGGATTTTTCACCTTGAATCCCAGATTTTTTTAGTCTTGAATCCAGGATTATCAAATCTCATTCTTGTATCCAGTATTTTTGTTATCAGATCCCAGGTTTCTTAATCTGGAGCTCAGGATCTTTCATCTTTAATCCTGAATTTTTCCATCTTAAAATCCAGGATTATTAATCTCAAATCCCAGATTTTTTAATATCAAATTCAGCATGTTTAATCTCAAATCCAGGGTAATTTTATATCTCGGATTTTTCATCTCATATTCTGTTTCTTTCAATCTAGAATCCAAGATTTTTAATCTCTAATCCAAGATTATCAGTCTCAGATCCCATACTCCTGAATGCCAAGGGTTTGAATCCCAAATCCCAGTGTTTTTAATCTCAAATCCAGTTTTATCCATCTCAAGTCCTGGATTTTTAACCCCTGTTTTCCATCTTGAGTCCAGGATTTTTAACCTTGAATCCCAGATTATTCGGATGCCGATGTCAAACCCACCGCTGAGTCCTCAACCTCAACGTCCATCCCATGGACAGTGCATTAAGACTTCTCCAACGGGAGACATCTCCCTCCCGTTTTACCTCTCTGTGTGCGGAATATCCCCAGTTCACTTCCCTTTCCCATTAGGAATTCAGGACAGAGCCTCCTGCATCACAAACACGGTTCCTGTATCCAGCTGGGAGGGAGCAATGGATTGGTTTGTATAAACCCCTTCTATGTGATGGGGGTGATGAATCCGGTCCTTGGCTGTGTTCTACCACGGAGCTTCCCGATGCAGCCCCAGTCCGGCCCCGTTTGCCCCATCACCGCCTCCCGTAAAGGGGCCCTTGCCAGAGGACACGGCTTTGGGGCGGGTTTGGGTGGTTTTAGTCAATTTAACGGCCCAAGGGGGGGGTGAACGTGTCCCGGAGCATCCCCGCAGCGTTCCGAGGCTCAAGACCGAGGGGGGAGCCCCGCGCAACGGCTCCAACCGGCCCCAGCACCGGGCAGGAAGGGGCGGGACGGGGCGGAGCGGAGCGGAGCGGCCCCGGAGGAGAGGAGGCTGCGGCTGGTGAGGAGCAGGGGGACGTGGGGGGTACAGGGGACATGGGGGGGAGTATAGGGGGTACAGGGGATATGGGGGGGGGTATAGTGGGTACAGGGAATATAGGGGGTACAGAGGGTATGGGGGGGTACAGAGGGCATGGGGGGGTATAGGTGTTACAGGGGATATGGAGGGGTATAGGTGGTACGGGGATATGGGGGGTATAGGGGATACAGGGGATATGGGGGGGTACAGTGGGTATAGGGTACAGGGGATATGGGAGGGTATAGGGGACATGGGGGGTATAGGGGGTACAGGGGGGTACAGGGGGCATGGGGGGGTATAGGTGTTACAGGGGATATGGAGGGGTATAGGGGGTACAGAGGATATGGGGGGTACAGGGGACATGGGGGGGTACAGGGGGCATGGGGGGTATAGGTGTTACAGGGGATATGGAGGGGTACAGGGGGTACAGGGGGTACAGGGGACATGGGGGGGGTACAGGGGGTACAGGGGGTACATGGGGGTACAGGGGGTACATGGGGTACAGGGGGTACAGGGGGTACAGGGGGGATGGGGGGCATAGGGGGCAGGGGTATTGAACGTATAGGGGACATGGGGAGGTATAGGGGGTACAGGGGTATAGGGGATATGGGGAGGTATAGGGGACATGGGGGGGTATAGGGGTCATGGGGGTATAGGGGACATGGGGGGTATAGGGGACATGGGCAGTATAGGGGGTACCGGGGACATGGGGGTGATCAGTGCATAGGGGGGTGTAGGGGAGCGGGGGGGAATGGGTGCATGCTGGAGCTGGGTTATGGGGTGCACAAGGGAGAATGTATGGGGGGGGGTGTCGGGATGTGAGGGTGCACAGGAGGCACCGGGAGGTTTGGGTCTGGGGGGGATTGGAGCATGAGGTATTTAGGGGTACCCGGGGGGGTGCATGGGGAGTTGGGGCATGGGGGTGCATGGAGGGGTACGAAGGGGAAGGGGACTCTGGGGTGCAGGGGAGAGTTGGGCTGGGGGTTACAGGGAGGGCCGGGTGTTGGGGGGTATGGAGGGATCAGTGCATGTAGGGAGTCAGGCTATGGGGGTGCATGGGGGGGTACATGGACAGATGGGATATAGGGGTGCAGGGTGGTAAATGGGGGAGTCAGGCAGGAGAGGCGTGGAATGGGGGTACAGTGAAATGGATGATGGGGAGATTGGTGCATGCGGGGAGTTGGGCTGTAGGGGTGCACGGTGGGGGTACATGGGGGAGTTGGGCTATGGGGGTACATGGGGGGTGATCAGGGTATTGAGGACAGGAGGGGTGCAGGGTTTGCATGGGGGGGGGTGTGGGTGACCGGGTGACCCTCATGGGGTGATGCATGGCTGGGGGGGGTCCATGCATGCAGGGGTGATGGGGATTTGGGTTATGGAGGGGCAGGGGGTTGCAGTGACATGGGGAGGGATGCATGAGGGGACTGGGACATTGGGGGTGCATGGGGGGATTGGGGGTGCACTGGGGGATTGGGACATTGGGGCCACAGGGACTCCAGGCTGGGGACACTGGGGGATGCTGATGGGGATGGGGATGGGGGTTCCTGCAGGTGCAGGGCCCTTGAACCATGGGTGCTGAGGAGGGGGTGCAATAGGGGAGCCCCACAGGGATGGGCAGGACATTGCTGTGTGACCGCACTCTCACCCCCCGCTTCCCCCCCGCTCAGGGCCCAGTGAGGGCACCAGGACACAGCCATGTCCCAGCCCATCTCCTGCCCCAAGGTGAGCCCAGTCCCTGCATCCCCATCCTGGGGGACATCAGGGAGGACTCCCCCCTGCATTTAACCCTTCCCACACTGCAGGAGCAGGGGGATGGCGCGGAGACCCCCCCCAAGCCATCACCATTGGGATCCCCGCTTCTCTTCCCTGGGGAGACGCTGTTCCGGCAGGCCGGCGGGGTCACCTACCGCATCCCGGCGCTGCTCTACATCCCACCGGCAGCCACGTTCCTGGCCTTCGCCGAGAAGCGGTCCTCAGCCAGGGATGAGGATGCCAAGTACCTGGTGCTGCGGCGGGGCCGGCGGCACGGCCCCTCGGTGCAGGTAAAACCAACCTGGGCTGCAGGAGCAAGCGATGCTCTCCATGCCCGGGAGTGATGGGTGGGTTTGGGGTGCACCCCATGGCTTGTGTCCTGGGAATGCCCCATCCCTGGCAGTGCTCAAGGCCAGGTTGGACACAGGGGCTTGGAGCAAGCTGCTCCAGTGGAAGGGGTCCCTGCCTGTGGCAGGGGTTGGAGCTGGAGGAGCTTCAATGTCCCTTCCAAATCAACCATTCCAACCCCATGGAGGGCTCCAGGCTTGGGGAATTGTGGCTGGAAACTGCCCATGGGAAAGCCCTTGGTGGTGCTGATGGATGGAGCTGAACATGAGCAGCTTGTGCCCAGGGAGCCCCCAGCATCCTGGCCTGGATCAGCACCAGTGCGGCAGCAGGGCCAGGGCAGGGATTGTGCCCCTGCACTGGGCACTGGTGAGGCCGCACCTCGGATCCTGTGCTCAGCTCTGGGCCCCTCACTGCAAGAGAGACATTGAGGGGCTGGAGCGGGGCCAGAGAAGGGAATGGAGCTGGTGCAGGGCCTGGAGCCCAAGTGTGATGGGGAAGGGCTGAGGGACCTGGGGGGTTCAGATGGAGAAGAGAAGGCTCAGGGGGGACCTCCAAGTGCCTGAGAGGAGGATGGAGCCAGGAGGGGCTGGGCTCTGCTCCCAAGGAACAAGGGATGGGACAAGAGGAACCGGCCTCAAGCTGCACCAGGGCAGGTTTAGATGGAGCTGAGGACCAATTCCTGCCCCAGAGGGTGCTCAGGCATTGGAACAGGCTGCCCAGGGCAGGGCTGCAGGCACCGGCCCTGCAAGGGGGACCAGGCCCTCAGTGCCATGGGGCAATGGTGGCCTTAGCACTGATGGGAATGGTTGGACTGGATGAGCTGAAAGGGCTTTTCCAACCCCATTGATTCCGTGATTCTCTGTCCCCTCCTTTCCTCCCCGCAGTGGGGCCCGGTCCAGGACCTCTCCTCTCTGACCCTTCCCGGCCGCCGCACCATGAGCCCGTGTCCCCTTTACGACTCCTCCACCGGCACCACCTTCCTGTTCTGCATCTGCGTGCAGCGGGGCCGCTCGGAGCGGGGCCAGCTCTGGCGCGGCTGCAGCGCCGCCCGCCTCTGCTTCGCCACCAGCCCCGACGGCGGCCGCGCCTGGAGCCCGCTGCGGGATGTGACGGACGAGGCCATCGGCACCGACCTGTCCCGTTGGGCTACGTTCGCTGTGGGGCCGGGCCACGGCATCCAGATGGATTCGGGGCGCTTGGTGGTGCCGGCCTATGCTTACTACATCCACAGGCGCCTGTGCGGGGTCCTGCCGCTGCCCTGCTCCACGCGGCAGCATTCCCTTGTGTTTTATAGTGATGACAACGGGCACCACTGGCACAAGGGTGCCCTGCTCGAGGGCCAGCGGACCGGTGAGTGCCAGGTCGCCCAAATCCCTGGGGATGATCCCGACGTTCCCATGCTCTATTGCAGCGCACGGGCACCGCGGGGATGCCGGGCCGTGGCGCTCAGCACCGACCTCGGGCTGCGCTTCCAGCCCCCGGTGCAGTGCCCGGTGCTGGGTGAGCCCCCTCGGGGGTGCCAAGGCAGCGTCGTGAGCTTCCCCGCACCGCATCACCCCGGCCCCGGCCCCGCACCGGCCTGGCTGCTCTACTCGCATCCCATCGACCGGCACCGGCGCCGCGATCTGGGCCTCTACGTGAACCCCTCGCCGCTGGACCGCGATGCGTGGTGGCACCCATGGGTGCTGCGGGAGGGGCCGGCAGGGTACTCGGACCTGGCTGCGTGTCCCGATGGGCTCTTTGGGTGCTTGTTTGAGTGCGGGGCTCAGAGCGCCTGCGAGGAAATCGCCTTCTGCCTCTTCAGCCTGGGCGCCTCCATCCGCGGCGAGCAGAGCATCGGTACCCCCGGAACGGAGCCGGGATAGAGGGGGAGCATTCCCGAGCGCTGGACCCCAGAGCGCGGCAGGGCTTGGGGTGCGCGGCAGGGCTTGGGGTGCGCGGCAGGGCTTGGGATGCGCGGCAGGGCTTGGGATGGGCGGCAGGGCTTGGGGTGCGCGGCAGGGCTTGGGATGCGCGGCAGGGCTTGGGGTGCGCTGCAGGGCTTGGGGTGCGCGGCAGGGCTTGGGGTGCGCGGCAGGGCTTGGGGTGCGCGGCAGGGCTTGGGATGCGCGGCAGGGCTTGGGGAGCGCGGCAGGGCTTGGGGTGCGCGGCAGGGCTTGGGGTGCGCGGCAGGGCTTGGGGTGCGCGGCAGGGCTTGGGGTGCGCTGCAGGGCTTGGGGTGCGCGGCAGGGCTTGGGGTGCGCGGCAGGGCTTGGGGTGCGCGGCAGGGCTTGGGGTGCGCGGCAGGGCTTGGGGTGCGCGGCAGGGCTTGGGATGCGCGGCAGGGCTTGGGGTGCGCTGCAGGGCTTGTGGTGCGCGGCAGGGCTTGGGGTGCGCGGCAGGGCTTGGGATGCGCGGCAGGGCTTGGGGTGCGCGGCAGGGCTTGGGGTGCGCTGCAGGGCTTGGGGTGCGCGGCACCGGGGGGCTTTTACTTCGTTAACAGTGAACGTTTGGCTTTTTAATCACCCATCAAAGAGATGGGGGGGGTGTCAACGGGGATGCCTGGCACCGGGAATGCTGCTGCTTCATCGGGAATCCTGATCCCTTTTCCCCTGGGAGCAGTGAAAAGGCTGAAGGTGCCACCGAGAGCAGGCGATTCCCTGCGGGAAGATGCCCGCAAGTGGTGGTTTAGTTGGAAATGTCTCAATTCCCGTGTCCTTCCCGGGTGGCAGGGGGAGAATTCCCGGTTTTTACCGTTTTTAATGGTGTTCTGTTCGTGTTCCTTGTTCAGGCTGAGCTTTGTCCTGTATTCCCATGGGAAAAGCACACAGATCTCTCTGGGGTGGTTGAGTCTGCTCCATAGGGACAGGTTGTGGCATCCCAATGGTGACAGCGACCTCACGCCTCTGTGTTGCTGCCAAATAAAATCCTTCCCAAAGGGGTGAATCCAGGTGATACTGGGAAAATCCCATGGGATTTAACCCTGCTGGGAAGGATGGGGATGCCCCGAGCATCACCAACTCCTGCTCCATCCCAGCGCTGCCGTTTGGATACCCAGCACAGGGGACATGGAGGGGACCCATGGGAAGGCAGGAAAGGGGTGGGAAGGGGATCAAGGAAAGCTGTGGGATTTGGGGGCTTTGGCTTCTTGGGATGGGGAAGGAGATTTGAGGGGGAGTGATGGAGGATTGAGGGACATGGGTGAGGTCTGGGGGTGTGGGATATGGTGGAGTGATGGGGATATGGGATAATGGAGTCCAAGCCAGGATGGGGACAGGCAGGAGGGGAGAGATGAGAGAGGACAGGCAGGATGGGATGGGGACAGGAGCAGGCAAGACAGGGACAGGCAGGATGGGGACAGGGACAGGCAGGAGAAGTCCAAGGTAGGATGGGGACAGGCAGGATGGGGAGAGGAAGGGCTGGGACAGGCAGCAGGGGATGGGTAGAATAGGGACAACAGGAGTGTGCAGGCAGGATGGAGACAGAAGGGGATAGGGGGACAGGGATGGGCAGGATGGGGACAGGCAAGAAGGGATGGGATGGGAATGGGAACGGGAACAGGCAGAATGGAGACAAGCGGGACAGGGACAGGCAGCGAGCAGGAGTCCAAGGAGGGAGAGGCAAGAGGGGACAGGGATGGGGACAGTCAGGATGAGTCCGAGGCAGGAGGGGGCAGCATGGGGACAGGGACAGTCGGGATGGGGACAGTGAGGAGGGGGCAGGATGGGATGGGGAGAGGGATAGGCAGGATGAGTCCGAGGCGGAAGGGAGCAGGATGGGATAGGATCAGGGACACTCGGGATGAAGGCAGGATGGGATGGGAGCAGTCGGGATGGGGACAGTCAGGAGGGGGCAGGATGGAGCAGATGGGGAGGGGGATAGGCAGGATGAGTCCGAGGCAAGAGGGGGCAGGATGGAATAGGGTCAGGGACACTCGGGATGGAGACAGGATGGGATGGGGACAGTCAGAAGGGGGCAGGATGGAGTAGAGTCAGGGACGTTCGGGATGGAGGAAGGATGGGATGGGAGCACTCAGGATGGGGACAGGGACGGGCAGGATGGGATGGGGACAGTCAGGAGGGAGCAGGATGGAATAGGGTCGGGGCACTCGGGATGGAGGCAGGATGGGATGGGAGCAGTCAGGATGGGCACAGTGAGGAGGGGGCAGGATGAGTCCAAGGCAGGATGGGATAGGATCAGGGATACTCGGGATGGAGGCAGGATGGGATGGGGACAGTCAGGAGGGGGCAGGATGGAGCAGAGTCAGGGACGTTCGGGATGGAGGCAGGATGGGATGGGAGCAGTCAGGATGGGGACAGGGACGGGCAGGATGGGATGGGGACAGTGAGGAGGGGGCAGGATGGGGTGGGGAGGGGGATAGGCAGGATGGGTTCAAGGGGGAAGGATGGGATGGGATCAGGATGGAGACAAGATGGAATGGGAGCAGTTAGGATGGGGACAGTGAGGAGGGGGCAGGATGGAGTAGAGTCAGGGACGTTCGGGATGGAGGCAGGATGGGATGGGAGCAGTCAGGATGGGGACAGGAACGGGCAGGATGGAATAGGGTCAGGGACACTCGGGATGGAGGCAGGATGGGATGGGGACAGTCGGGATGGGGACAGGGACGGGCAGGATGGGATGGGGAGAGTGAGGAGGGGGCAGGATGGAGCGGAGAGGGGGATAGGCAGGATGAGTCCGAGGCAAGAGGGGGCAGGATGGAATAGGGTCAGGGACACTCGGGATGAAGGCAGGATGGGATGGGGACAGTCGGGATGGGGACAGTGAGAAGGGGGCAGGACGGAATAGAGTCAGGGGTGTTCGGGATGGAGGCAGGATGGGATGAGAGCAGTCAGGATGGGGATAGTGAGGAGGGGGCAGGATGAGTCCAAGGCAGGATGGGATAGGGTCAGGGACACTCGGGATGGAGACAGGATGGGATGGGGACAGTCGGGATGGGGCCAGGGACGGGCAGGATGGGGACGGTGAGGAGGGGGCAGGAGGGGATGGGGACCGGAGGGTCCGGATGGGGCCCCGCAGCCCCCTCCCTCCGCAGCCAGCGTGGCGGATCCGGGGCACCCCCCTCACCCTCCCCTTTCCCCCCATTTCCCACCCCCGGGGCGGAGCCTCCCCCTCCCCCGAGCGGTGGCTGCGGGGCCGATGCGGGCGCTGGGGCTCGGGGTGCTGCTGGCGCTGCTGCCGCCGCCCGCCCCGGCAGAGACCTTCAGCGCCATGAGGAGCGTGCGGGCGGCGATGGGCGCCGAGGGCCGCCTGCTCCGAAGGCTCCGCGCCTACCTGCGGGAGGAGAGCGCCCGCCTGCGCCGCATGACCAGGTACGGGCAGCGCCGGCCCCGCTGGGTGCGATGGGAGCATCCCTCTGAGCTCCTGATCCCTGCTGGGTGCGATGGGAGCATCCCTGTAAGGTCCTGATCCCCGCTGGGTGCGATGGGAGCATCCCCGTACGGCCGTGATCCCTGCTGGGTGCGATGGGAGCATCCCTGTGAGGTCCTGATCCCGCTGGGTGCGATGGGAGCATCCCTGTGAGCTCCTGATCCCTGCTGGGTGCGATGGGAGCATCCCTGTAAGGTCCTGATCCCTGCTGGGTGCGATGGGAGCATCCCTGTAAGGTCCTGATCCCTGCTGGGTGCGATGGGAGCATCCCTGTGAGCTCCTGATCCCTGCTGGGTGCGATGGGAGCATCCCTGTAAGGTCCTGATCCCGCTGGGTCCGATGGGAGCATCCCTGTGAGCTCTTGATCCCCGTTGGGTGCGATGGGAGCATCCCTGTAAGGTCCTGATCCCCGCTGCGTGCGATGGGAGCATCCCTGTAAGGTCCTGATCCCTGCTGGGTGCGATGGGAGCATCCCTGTAAGGTCCTGATCCCTGCTGGGTGCGATGGGAGCATCCCTGTAAGGTCCTGATCCCCGCTGGGTGCGATGGGAGCATCCCTGGGTCCCCTCATCCCCACTGGGTGAGCTGGGACCATCTCAGTGTCCTCCTAACACAAGGGTGGGTGTGTGGGGAGCATCCCTGTATCCCCCCAGTCCCAGGGGTTCGTGCACTGGGAGCATCGCGGTATCCTCCCGACCTCAACTGGGTGTGCTGGGAGCACGCCTGTATCCCCCCAACACAAGGGTGGGTACATTGGAAGCATCCCAGTATCCCTCTAGCCTCGACTGGGTGTGCTGGGAGCACCCCATATCCCTCCAGTCCCAAGAGTGGGTGCTGCCTGGCAGGGAGGGGGTTTAACCCAGCTCAGACCCCTTCCATCCAGCACCCAATAAATAGGGGATGTGGGTGCCCTCGCATCCCCACACTGGGGGATGTGATCATAGGATCATGGGGATGGTTTGGGTTTGGGTTGGATTGGGCAGGACCTTAAAGCTCCTCCAGTTCCTACCCCTACCATAGACAGGGACACCTCCCATAGAGCAGCTTGCTCCAAGCCCCTGTCTCCAGCCTGGCCTTGGCTGGGGTGATCCTAAATAGGGGTGTGGGTGCTTGGGGAAGCTGCCTGCGCACCCCTGGCTATGTCCAAGCTGGGGGATGTGGTCACCCCAAGCCTTGGCTGAGGAGCAGGGATGTGGCCATGGCCCGGGACATCCCCATGTCCCCACTAGGGATGGGGCTGACAAAGCGGATGGGGTCTCCTCACCTCCAGCATGGTCCCAGTGTGGATGCTGGGTGTCTCTGCCCATAGCAGGGGTTGGAACCAGACGGGTCCCAAAGGTCCCTTCCAGCCCAAACCATCCCATGATCCTATGGGGTTTCCCAGCTATGTCGGGGCTCAGGCCCCTGGAGCATCCCTCGGTGTCACCCAGTGGGTGCCTTGCAGGTTCTATGAGAAGGTGCAGGCGCTGCACCAGGACCCGCAGGCCTCGGTGGAGAACCCCTTGCTGGCCTTCGGCCTCATCAAGCGCCTCTACTCCGACTGGCCCAATGTCATCTACAGCGATGAGGCCACCGAGAACAGCCAGGGTAAGGGGGAGGCTGCAGTGTGTGTCCCCTCTGTCAGCGGGGGAGAGGCAGGAGGTGATGGGGAGTGGATGGAGGAGCAGGGGAATGGATGGAGGAGCAGGAGAATGGATGGAGGAACAGGGGAATGGGTGGAGGAGCAGGATAAAGGATGGAGGAGCAGGGGAATGGATGGAGGAACAGGGGAATGAATGGAGGAGCAGGGGAATTGATGGAGGAACAGGGGAATGAATGGAGGAGTAGGTGAATGGGTGTTGGAGCAGGGCAATGGATGGGAGAGCAGAAGAATGGGTGGAGGAGAAGGAGAATGGATGGAGGAGCAGGGGAATGGATGGAGGAGAAGGGGAATGGATGGAGGAGAGGAGAATGGATGGAGGAGAAGGGGAATGGATGGAGGAGAAGGGGAATGGATGGAGGAGAAGGGGAATGGATGGAGGAGAAGGGGAATGGATGGAGGAGAGGAGAATGGATGGAGGAGAAGGGGAATGGATGGAGGAGAAGGGGAATGGATGGAGGAGAGGAGAATGGATGGAGGAGAAGGGGAATGGATGGAGGAGAAGGGGAATGGATGGAGGAGAAGGGGAATGGATGGAGGAGCAGGGGAATGGATGGAGGAGAAGGGGAATGGATGGAGGAGGAGGGGAATGGATGGAGGAGCAGGGGAATGGATGGAGGAGCAGGGGGATGGAGGAGAGGGAATGGAGGAGGAGAAGGGGAATGGATGGAGGAGCAGGGGAATGGATGGAGGAGCAGGGGAATGGATGGAGGAGCAGGGGAATGGATGGAGGAGCAGGGGAGTGGATGGAGGAGCAGGGGAATGGATGGAGGAGCAGGGGAGTGGATGGAGGAGGAGGAGAATGGGTGGAGGAGCAGGGGAATGGATGGAGGAGCAGGGGAATGGATGGAGGAGAAGGGGAATGGATGGAGGAGAAGGGGAATGGACGGAGGAGCAGGGGAATGGATGGAGGAGAAGGGGAATGGATGGAGGAGAAGGGGAATGGATGGAGGAGGAGGAGAATGGATGGAGGAGCAGGGGAATGGATGGAGGAACAGGGGAATGGATGGAGGAGGAGAATGGATGGAGGAGAAGGGGAATGGACGGAGGAGGAGGAGAATGGATGTAGAAGGAGGGGAAGGGATGGAGAAGCAGGGCAACAGATGGAGGAGCAGGGGAATGGGTGGAGGAGAAGGGGAAGGGATGGAGGAGCAGGGGAATGGGTGTTGGAGCAGGGCAATGGATGGAGGAGTAGGGGAATGGGTGGAGGAGCAGGATAAAGGATGGAAGAGCAGGGGAATGGGTGGAGGAGGAGAATGGATGGGGAAACAGGGGAATGGATGGAGGAGGAGGGGAATGGGTAGAGAAGCAGGGTAATGGATGGAAGCAGGAGAATAGATGGAGGAACAGGGGAATGGATGGAGAAGCGGGGCAATGGGTGGAAGCAGGAGGATGGATGGAGGAGCAGGAGAATGGGTGGAGGAGCAGGATAAAGGATGGAGGAGGAGGGCAATGGATGGAGGAACAGGGGAATGAATGGAGGTGAGGGGAATGGATGGAGGAACAGGGAAATGGGTGGAGGAGAGGAGAATGGATGGAGGAAGAGGGGAATGAATGGAGGAGCAGGGGAAATGGGTGTTGGAGCAGGGCAACGGATGGGAGAGAAGAACGGGTGGAGGAGATGGAGAATGGATGGGGAAACAGGGGAATGGATGGAGGAGCAGGGGAATGGGTAGAGAAGCAGGGTAATGGATGGAAGCAGGAGAATGGATGGAGGAGCAGGGCAATGGATGGAGGAGCAGGGGAATGGATGGAGGAGCAGGGGAATGGATGGAGGAGCAGGGGAATGGATGGAGGAGCAGGGGAATGGATGGGAGAGAAGAAGAATGGGTGGAGGAGAAAGAGAATGGATGGGGAAACGGGAATGGATGGAGAAGGAGGAGAATGGATGGAGGAGCAGGGCAATGGATGGAGGAGCAGGGGAAGGGATGGAGGAGCAGGGGAAGGGATGGAGGGGGGCAATGGCTGGAGGGGGGCAATGGATGAAGGAGGGCAATGGCTGGAGGAGCAGGGCAATGGCTGGAGGGTGGCAATGGCTGGAGGGGGGCAATGGCTGGAGGAGCAGGGCAATGGCTGGAGGGGGGCAATGGCTGGAAGGGGGCAATGGCTGGAGGGGGCAATGGCTGGAGGGGGGCAATGGCTGGAGGGGGCAATGGCTGGAGGGGGGCAGTGGCTGGAGGGGGGCAATGGCTGGAGGGGGGCAATGGCTGGAGGGGGGCAGTGGCTGGAGGGGGGCAATGGCTGGAGGGAAATAACTCGGGGCAATAACAGAGGGGCAATCACTCAGGCAATAACTAAAGACGAAATCCTCGAGGGCAATTCATCGAGAGGTTCGAATAGACTAAAAAGAGGGCCAATAACTAAAGGGTCGTGAGCCAAAAAGAGGGCAATTCATCGAAGGCAATAGCAGAAGGACAATAACAAAGATCGATAACTAAAGCAATAACGAAAGAGGGCATTCATCGAGGACGATAAGCGGGGACGTAACGAAGGGACGATGGCGACGATAGCAGTTGGATCGATGACGAAGAGCAATAGCGGACAATCACTAAAAGAGAGCAATAACTAAAAGAGGGAACGTACTAAAAGAGCAATAGCTAAAGCAATCCCTAAAAGGGGCATCAAGACCTTGCAAGCAAGGTCTGTGAACTGCTTAGTGTGAATATGGGTAAGCAATGCTGAAGGAGCAAAAGTCGAAGCAATCACTCGAGGGGCAATCACTCGAGGCAATCACTGAAGGGGGACAATCACTACGAGAGATAGCGAGGGGGACGTGGTGGCAACTAGGGGTTCGGTGAGCGGGGGCATCACTCAAAAAGGGGGCGGTGGCGGAGGGCAATAACTGAGGGGCAAATGGCTCGGGGGCAATCGCTGGAGGGGGGCAATTGCTCGAGGAGCAAGGCAAATGGCTCGAGGGGGCAATCATCGAGGGGGCATTGGCTCGGGGGGACGTAGCGAGGGGGACGATGACGAAGGGGGACGTAGCGGGGACGTGCGGGGGCAATGGCTCGAGGTACGGTGAGCCGGGGGCAAAGCAATGGCTGAAGGGGACGGTGAGCCGGGGGACGATAACGAGGGGACGTAACGAGGGCAATCACTCGGGGGACGTAGCGAGCGATAACGGAGGACGATGACTGAAGGACAATGGCTCGAGCGGTGACGAAGCGATGGCGGCGATAACTCGAGGGACAATCACTCGGGGGACGATAACGAGGGCAAATAACTAAAAGAGGGGGACGATAACGAAGCCATAGCGAGCAATACTGAAGAGAGCAATAGCGGGGACGGTGACGGAGCAATAGCTGAAAGAGGGACAATAGCTAAAAGAGGCAATAGCGAGCAATAACTGAGGGCAATAGCTCGGGGGCAATCACTCGGGGGACGTGGCGGGCAACATCGAGGGGCCATCACTTAAAGCAATCCTCGGGGGCATGGCTAAAAAAGAGAGGCAATCCTCGGGGCAGTGGCTGAGGGGGCATCGCTCGGGGGGCAATGGCCGGGGGCAATCACTCGAGGGGCAGTCACTCGGGGGCAATAACGAGGGGCAATATGACGAGGGGCAATGGCTCGAGGTCAAATGGCGGGCAGTGGCTGCGGGGCAATCCTAGGAGGGGGCAGTGGCTCAAGGAGGGGGGCAATAACTAGGAGGGGGGCAGTAGCTGAGAGGTCAAATAGCTAGGAGGGCAATGGCTGGAGGGGGGCAGTGGCTAGAGGGGGGCAATGGCTGGAGGGGGGCAGTGGGCTGGAGCAATAGCAAGAGAGCAATAGCTAATCGGGTACAAATCCTCGAGGGAGCGATGACGGAGCAGTGACTAAAAGAGAGCAATAGCTTCGGGGGCGGTGACGAGGTCGGTGCCAGAGGGGCAATCCTCGGAGCAGGGACAGTCACTCACCTCTGAGGCAATCCTCAAGCAATCCTCGAGGCAATAACTAAAGCAAGGCGATGACTCGGGGGCAATAGCTAGTCAGTGGTAAGCGAGGGGGCAATCACTCGAGGGGCAATAGCTAGGAGGGCAATTCCTCGAAGCAAGGCAATGGCTGGAGGGCAGTCACTCGGGGGGCAGTAGCTAGGAGCAATGCCAACAGAGGGCAATCCTGGCAAAGGCAATGTAGGAGGAGGGGGCAATGGCTGGAGGGGCGCGGTGGCAGGTGGGTCAATGCTGGAGGCAGGCAATGGCCGAGGGACGGCGAATGCGGAGATGGGAAGTGGAGGCGGTGAGCAAGAAGAGGCCAAGTGGAGGAGCAATGGACGAGGTAAATCACTCGGGGTCGGTGGCGGCGGTGACGGAGGGCAATCCTGGAGGGGGCAATCCTCGAGGGGCAATCCTCGAGCAATGGCTCGAGGGGGGACGGTAACGAGGGCAATCACTCAGCAATGACTGAGGGGCAATCACTCGGGGGACAATAACCGAGGGGCAAATCACTCGGGGCAATCCTCGAGGGGGCAATCACTAAAAGAAGGCAATCCTCGAGGGCAATCCTCGAGGCAATCCTCGGGGACAATCACTCGGGAGCGGTGACGAAGAGTCGGGGATAGCGGGGGGACGTGCGGAGCAATAGCTAGTGGGTCAAATCCTGAGAGAGAGAGAGGGGCAATCCTCGGGGCAATTGCTGGAGGGGGGCAATTCCTCGAGAGAAGCAAGGCAATAGCTAGAGAGGGGCATCACTTGAGGGGGCAATCCTTCAGGAGGGGGGCAATCCTTGGGGGGCAATCCTAGGAGGGCAATCCTCGGGGGCAATCCTCGAGGGGCAATAACTAAAGAGGTCGTAGCAAAGACAAGCCAAATGACTAAAAAGGGGACAAATCACTCGGAGCAATAACGAGGCAATAACGAAGGAGGGACAATGCCTCGGGGGGACGATGACGAAGAGAGCAATGGCTGAAGAAGCAGCGATGACGAAGAGAGCAATAGCGAGACAATGGCTCGAGGACAATAACTCGAGCAATAGCTGAAGGATCAATGGCTCGACCGTCGGTGACGAAGGCAATAGCTAAAAAGGGGGACGTGCACCGAGGGGACGTACAAAGAAATCACTCGAGGAGCAATAACTAAAAAGCAACCGCGATGACGAAAGAGAGCAATGCTGAAAGCAATAACGAGGGACGTAGCCGAGCAATAGCTCGAGGGGCAATCACTCGAGGGCAATAGCTAAAAGAGGGGCAATCATCGAGAGCAATGGCCGAGGGGGCAATTGGCTCGGGGGCAATCCTAAAAAGAGGGGCCGTGCACCGGAGCAATGCTGAAAGAGGGGCAATGGCTACGAGAGGGCAATCCCTCGGAGGGGGCAGTGGCTCGGGGGCAATCCTCGGGGGGCAATGGCTGGAGGGGGGCAATGGCTCGGTTTTTGTGGCTGGAGCAGGGCAATAGCTCGAGCAATCACGAGGGGGACGTAGCCGAGGGACGATAGCGACGATAGCGACGATAGCGACGATAGCGAAGAGACAATAACTAAAGAAGGGGGACAGATCACGACGATAACGAAGCAATGGCACGAAAAGGACGGTGAACGAAGCAATCCAACGAAGGGACGATAACGAGGAACAGCGATGACGAGGACGATAACAAAAGAGACGATGACGAACAGGACGATGACGACGAGGAATCACCGGAGGACAATAAAGAGGGCCAATGGCTGAAAGAGGGGCAAGTGGCTGAAAAGCTAAATGGCTGGAAAATAAATAACTAAAGAGGGCATTTTAGGAGGGCATGGCTGGAGGGCAATGGCTGGAGGGGGCGTGGCTGGAGGGGGGCAATGGCTGTGGGGCAATGGCTGGAGGGGGGCAATCATAGGAGGGGGCAATGGCTGGAAGGGGGCAATGGCTATGAGGGGCAATGGCTCGAGGGGCAATGACTGAGAGGGGGCAATGCTGGAAGGGGGCAATGGCTCGAGGGGGCAATGGCTGGAGGGGGGCAATTCCTTGGAGGAGACAAGGCAATGACTGAAGAGGGGGCAATCATTCGGGGGCAGTGGCTCGGGGGGCAATCTGGTGTCAGAGGGGCAATCACTAAAGAATTTGCCATGTGTGAGGCAATGACTGAAGAGGGGCAATGGCTGAAGAGTGGAAATGGCTCGGAGGGGCAATAGCTCGAGGGGCAATGCTGAAAGGGGGCAATAGCTGAAGAGGGGGCAATGCTGAAGGAGGCAATGGCTGAAAGGGGGCAATAGCTAAAAAAGTGGGGATGACTGAAGAGGTAAATGGCTCGGAGGGCAATGCTGGAGGGGGCAATGGTCGAGGGGGGCAATGGCTGGAGGGGGCAATTACTGAAGACAAGGCAATGGCTCGGGGGGCAATGCATCGAGGGGCAATGGCTCAGAGGGGGCAATGCCTGAGAGGGGGCAATGGCTCGAGGGGGCAATGGTCGGGGGCAATGGCTCGAGGGGCAATCCTCGAGAGGTCAATGGCTGGAGGGGGGCAATGGCTGGAGGGGGGCAATGGCGGGAGGGGGGCAATGGTTGGAGGGGCAATTGCTGGAGGAGCAAGGCAATGGCTCAGGGGGGCAATGCTGAAGAGGCAGTGACGAGGGGGCAATCCTCGGGGGGACGTGACTGAGGGGCAATAACGAGGGGCAATTACTGAAGAAGCAAGACGATGACGGAGGGCAATCATCGAGGGGCAATCACTCGGAGCAATAGCAAAAGAGGCAATAACTGGAGCAATAAAAGGAAATAGCTGAAAGGAGCAATGACTGAAGGCAATAACTAAAGATAAGTTTAAAAGCAATGGCTGAAGAAAGGAAGACTGGAAGAAGGCAATCCTGAAAGAAAAGATAGCTGAAAAAGAGGCAATAACGAGAGCAATACTAAAAGAGAGGGGCAATCACTCAGAAAGAGGGCATAGCTAAAGAAGAGCAATGGCACCAAAGCAATGCTGAAAAAGAGGCAATAGCTAAAGAAGAGCAATGGCTAAAACCAGGCAATAACTGAGGGGCAATGGCTGGAGGGGGGCAATGGTTGGAGGGGGCAATGGCTGGAGGGGGCAATGGCTGGAGGGGGTCAATGGCTGGAGGGGGGCAATGGCTGGAGGGGGGCAATGGCTGGAAGGGGGCAATGGCTGGAGGGGGGCAATGGCTGGAGGGGGCAATGGCTGGAGGGGGGCAATGGCTGGAGGGGGGCAATGGCTGGAGGGGGCAATGGCTGGAGGGGGGCAATGGCTGGAGGGGGCAATGGCTGGAGGGGGCAATGGCTGGAGGGGGGCAATGGCTGGAGGAGCAGGGGAAGGGATGCAGGAGCAGGGCAATGGCTGGAGGGGGGCAACGGCTGGAGGGGGCAATGGCTGGAGGGGGGCAATGGCTGGAGGGGGCAATGGCTGGAGGAGCAGGGGAAGGGATGCAGGAGCAGGGCAATGGCTGGAGGGGGGCAGTGGCTGGAGGGGGGCAATGGCTGGAGGGGGGCAATGGCTGGAGGGGGGCAATGGCTGGAGGGGGGCAATGGCTGGAGGGGGGCAATGGCTGGGGGGGGCAATGGCTGGAGGGGGGCAATGGCTGGAGGGGGCAATGGCTGGAGGGGGCAATGGCTGGAGGGGGGCAATGGCTGGAGGGGTCAATGGCTGGAGGAGCAGGGGAAGGGATGCAGGAGCAGGGCAATGGCTGGAGGGGGCAATGGCTGGAGGGGGGCAATGGCTGGAGGGGGGCAATGGCTGGAGGGGGGCAGTGGCTGGAGGGGGGCAGTGGCTGGAGGGGGGCAATGGCTGGAGGAGCAGGGCAATGGCTGGGGGGGGGCAGTGGCTGGAGGAGCAGGATGCAGACCCCCCATAGATAAAGCAGCGCCCACAAGGTCGATCCCCCCCTCCAAGCCCTCCCTCACCCCCCCCGCACCCCTTCCCTGCCCGCAGCGCTCCACGAGGGCTTCCAGGAGGTGGGGCAGGAGCTGCCGGGCGCCGAGGACGTGGCCGGGGCTGCGCGGGCGCTGATGCGGCTGCAGGACGTGTACGGGCTCAGCGTCAAGGGCCTGGCCAACGGCGTCTTCCAGCGCAGCGGGGCCGCCCGCCCGCCCCTCTACAGCCCCGGCCGCAGGGTGCCCCTCTCTGCCGATGACTGCTTCCATGTGGGGAAGGTGAGGGAGCGCCCCATGGCCCCAGTGGGGTTCCCTCCTGCGGGGATGCAGAAGGGACCATGGAGTCAGCCCGAAGGCATCGCCCATGGTAGAGGATGGGGGGATAAGGGGGCTTCTCCTTGATTCATGGCTTGGGGAGGGAAGAGCCTCAGGGAGAGCTCCTGTCCCAGCGTCCTGGTTGGATCCGGGATCAGCCCGAGCCCGGGGGTAAAAGGGAATCCCAGGGATGGGATTTGGGGATCGTGTAGAGGCTTTCGTTGAGGGCAGTCTTCTGAGTGTCACTGGGATGGAGGAGCACGGTGTGGGATGGGATGGAGGGTGAGATGGGGATGGAGCATGGATCCATGGGATGGGACAGGGAGGAAGGGAATGGCGTGGGAGGAATGGGGATGGGAATAGGAAAGCAGGATGTGCTGGGGCAAGATGAATAGGAATTGCGATTGGACGGCAGGACATGGTACGGGGATGGGATTGAATGGATTGGGACAGGATTAGGGTAGGCACAGGATGGGAAGGGGTTAGAGGTGGGATTGGGATGAAGATGGTGATGGGGATTAGGATAGGATGAAGTGATGGAATGAAGATGGGAGTGGGGATGTGGTGGGATCGGATGGTACAGAATGGGGTGGGATGGGATAGGATGGGAACAGGACGGGATGGGATGGGAAGGAAAAGGATGAGATGGGAGGAGCTTGGTGCAAGAGGGGACGGGGTGGGATGGGATGGGGACAGGATGGGATGGAATGGGAAGGGAAAGGATGAGATGGGATGGGATGGGAGGAGGATGGTGCAGGAGGGGACGGGGTGGGATGGGATAGGATGGGGACAGGATGGGACAGGATGGGATGGAATGGGAAAGGAAAGGATGAGATGGGACGGGATGGGAGGAGGATGGTGCAGGAGGGGACGGGGTGGGATGGGATAGGATGGGGACAGGATGGGACAGGATGGGATGGAATGGGAAGGGAAAGGATGAGATGGGACAGGATGGGAGGAGGATGGTGCAGGAGGGGACGGGGTGGGATGGGATAGGATGGGACAGGATGGGACAGGATGGGATGGAATGGGAAGGGAAAGGATGGGACAGGATGGGAGGAGGATGGTGCAGGAGGGAACAGGGTGGGATGGGATGGGGACAGGATGGGACAGGATGGGATGGGATGGTAAAGGATGAGATGGGATGGATGGGAGGAGGATGGTGCAGGGGGGGATGGGGTGGGATGGGATAGGATGGGGTGGGATGGATGGGAAAGGATGAGATGGGACAGGATGGGAGGAGGATGGTGCAGGAGGGGACAGGGTGGGATGGGATGGGATGGGGACAGGATGGGATGGAATGGGAAGGTAAAGGATGGGATGGGACGGGATGGGAGGAGGATGGTGCAGGAGGGGATGGGATGGGGACAGGATGGGATGGGATGGGAAGGGAAAGGATGAGATGGGATGGGAGGAGGATGGTGCAGGAGGGAACAGGGCGGGATGGGATGGGATGGGGACAGGCTGCAGGTGCTCTGCCTCGCAGGTGGCCTATGACACGGGTGACTATTACCACTCCATCGCGTGGCTGGAGGAGGCCGTTGGCCTCTTCCGCCTCTCCTACGGCAGCTGGAACCCGGAGGACCGCAGCAGCCTGGAGGATGCTCTGGACCACCTCGCCTTCTCCTACTTCATGGTACAGCCACACATCCCAGCCCCATCCCTGTGGTGTCCAATAGGGCCAAGCCGTGGGATGCTGATGGGCTCCTCACACCCCCAATCCAGGCTGGAAACGTCTCCCATGCCTTGAGCCTCTCCAGGGAGTTTCTCCATTATGGTATGGATATGGCAAGAGGAGGGGAGAGGTTTGGGGCTGTCCCCATCACCTCTGCATGGCACCAGCCTCCTTCACCCCATTCTTGCCCCAGTATGGGATCGATGCCATGGAACGCGGTGTTTGGGGTGACACCTCCTCTCCAACAGACCCCAGTAACCGCAGGGTGTTGAGGAACGTGGTCAAGTACAAGGAGCTGCTGGAGAAGGGGACAGTGACAAGCCCCGAGCCCTTGCGACGGCCCAATGGCACCCACCTACAGAGCCGGGATGCCTATGAGGAGCTGTGCCAGCGCCCACGGGGGCAGGTGGGGATGGCAAAGGGGTCCCATGGTCCCCACCCCACCATTGTCCCCCCATCCTCACACCCTCCTTGGTCTCCTCTGTCCCCAGTCAGCCCTGGAGCATCTCCCACACCTCGTCTGCTCCTACGAGACCAATGGCAGCCCCTTCCTCCTGCTCCAGCCTGCCAAGAAGGAGATGGTCCAGACCCAGCCCTATGTGGCTCTGTACCACGATTTCATCAGCGATGCCGAGGCTGAGACCATCAAGGGGTTGGCCGGGCCCTGGGTGAGCTGTCCCCATCCCCAGGGGTGGCTTTGTCCTAAAGGAGGGTGCCCCAGGAGCTGGTGGTGCGGGGTGGACCAACCTGGGCACGCAGAGCTGGGTTAAGCCATGGCTTAGCCAAAGCCTTATGCAGCCAGACCAAGGGTGGGATGAGCCCAGTTTGGCTCCTTCTGAGCCTGCCCCAAAGGAGAAACCAGGTCCATGCATGCACCTCAACACACTTGACTTGGTGGCATCCAACTGCGTTGGACCCAACCCCGGTCACCGCTTCCATCACCCTGGTGGGACACCTCGGGGTGGGGATGTGCTGGCATAAACCCAGCAGTGTGACCCCAAGGGGGGTCCCTGCTTGGTGGTGGGGTCCCCCCCTGCAGCACCATCCCCTCCACTGTGCCCCCCAGCTGCAGAGGTCCGTGGTCGCCTCTGGGGAGAAGCAGCAGAAAGCTGAGTACCGGATAAGCAAGAGGTAGGAGCCACCGCATCCCTTGTCCTATGGCCAACGGGACCATTGCGGCCCCATTGCCACCACCAAGGTGATGGTGAAGCCACCCTGGGGAGACTCCTCCGCACCCCACAGCGAGGGTGACACCATCCATGGGTGGCTTGGGTGCTGCTGCAGTGCCTGGCTGAAGGACACGGCCGACCCGGTGGTGCGGGCGCTGGAGCAGCGCATCGGGGCCGTCACCGGCCTGGACCTGAGGCCGCCCTATGCCGAGTACCTGCAGGTGGTCAATTATGGGCTGGGAGGCCACTACGAGCCCCACTTCGACCACGCCACGGTCAGGAGATGCCTGGGGGCTGCATGGGGTGGTCCAGGGGGTGATGCTCTGGGTGGTTCCTGTGGTGCCCTTGGGATGGTCCTTGGGATGCTCCATGGGATGGCTCCATCTTTGGAATATTCCCTACAGTGGTCCATGGGGTAGTTGCTGTGGTGCTCTTGGGATGCTCCATGGGATGGCTCCATCTTTGGGGTGGTCCCTACAGTGGTCCATGGGGTAGTTGCTGTGGTGCTCTTGGGATGCTCCATGGGATGGTTCCGTCTTTGGGGTGGTCCCTACAGTGGTCCATGGGGTAGTTGATGTGGTGCTCTTGGGATGCTCCATGGGATGGTCTCTGGGGTGTCCCTGGGATGCTCCTGGAGGTGGATCCATGGGGTGTTCCCTGGGGTACTCTTGGAGTGGTCCTGGTGGTGCTCCTGGGATGGTTCTTGGCATGATCCATGGGGTGGTCCATGGGATGCTCCTGGAGGTGGATCCTGGGGTGCTCCCCATGGTACTCCCTGGGGGTGAACATCCCATAGTGATCCCTGGGATGTGCCCTGAGATACTGCTGGAGGTGGAGCTTGGGATGGTCCTGGGAGGGGATGGGATAGGACAGAAGGGCTGCGGGATGGTGATGCCTGGGTTGGTGCCTGGGATACTCCTGGGAAAGGAGGGAGGAAGGAGGGCAGGGAAGAGGGGAGGAAGAAGGAAAGGGGAGAAAAGAAGGGAGAGGGGGGGATATCCACAGGTAGGGCCTGAGGTGCCTCCAGGCCGAGCCGCATCCGTACAGGACTGCCCATTCCCATGGGAATGACCATGGCACATCCTCACTCCTGGGGCAGTCGAGGAAGAGCCCCCTTTACAGGATGAAGTCAGGCAACAGGATCGCCACGGTCATGATCTACGTGAGTCCTCCCTCCCTCATCCCAGGCGCAGAGGCGATGCCCTTGGTCATCAGTAGGGGACTGCAGTGATGGGACAAGGGGTAATGGGTTCAGACTGAAACAGGGGGAGTTTAGATTGGATCTAAGGAGGGAATTCTTCCTTGTGAGGGTGCTGAGGCACTGGAATGGGTGCCCAGGGAGGTTGTGAATGCTCCATCCCTGGCAGTGTTCAAGGCCAGGTTGGACAGAGCCTTGGGTGCCATGGTTTAGTGTGAGGTGTCCCTGCCCATGGCAGGGGATGGAACTGGATGATCTTAAGGTCCTTTCCAACCCAAACTGTTCTATGATTCTATGATCAGTAGGGTTCAGAGTGAACAGGGTTTGAGAGGGGTGAGGACAGCCCTTGATGAGGGGATGGGCCTATAGGGATGCTGGGGATGGACTCTTCATCAGGGACTGCAGTGATAGGACAAGGGGTGATGGGTTCAAACTGAAACAGGGGAAGTTAGATTGGAATAGGAGAATCTTTCCTGTGAGGGTGCTGAGGCACTGGAATGGGTGCCCAGGGAGGTTGTGAATGCTCCATCCCTGGCAGTGTTCAAGGCCAGGTTGGACAGAGCCTTGGGTGCCATGGTTTAGTGTGAGGTGTCCCTGCCCATGGCAGGGGGTTGGAACTGGATGATCTTAAGGTCCTTTCCAACCCATTCCATGACTCTATGGGCTCTCCGGTGAGCTCTGCCCCCTGTGCCGTGCCATAGGGGAGGGAATGGGGCTGAGAACCAAGGGACAGCCCAAGGAAGGGAAGGGCCATGCTCGTGTCTCCTTCTCCCCCAGCTGAGCTCAGTGGAAGCCGGCGGCTCCACCGCCTTCATCGCCGCTAACATCAGCGTGCCCGTGGTCAAGGTGAGGGGGAGCCCGCTTGGGTTTGGGGGGGGGGGGGAACCTCAGCTTTGGGGCTCCCATTTGCGTTGTGGGAATGCCCACATTCCGCTTTGGGGGGGTTCGCGGCTCTGTTCTGGGTGGCAAACCCCAATTGCAGGGATCCTGGTCATGTTTTGGGGCTCAACACCCCAATCCTTGCGCTCCCATCTGTGTTTTGGGGGTGCCAAAGTCCCCTTTTGGGGATCCCAGCTCTGGTTTAGGGTGGCCAAACCTCAAGCTCCCAGCTCCGGTTTAGGGATGTCCCACCCCACCACTTCTGCTCCTGGCTCTATTTTGGGTTCTAACTCCCAATTCTGGGGATCCCGGTGCTGTTTTAGGGGTTCCAACCCCCAGTCCTGGGCCTCCCATCTCAGTTTTGGGGGGCAAACCCCCAATCCCAGCGCTCCCAGTTCTATTCTGGGGTTTCAACTCCGATTTTGAGCCTCGAGGGCTCTATTTTGGGGTTCCAACCCCAATTCTGGACCTTGCAGCTCTGTTTTGGGGGTTCCAAGCCCCAGTTCTGGAGCTCACGGTTCTATTTTGGGCTACCAAACCCCAATCCTGGTGCTCAAGGCTCTGTTTTGGGGTGGAAACCCTGAGTTTTGGGACTCCCATCTATGTTTTGGGGGCTCCAACCCCAATCCTGGTTTTCAAGGCTCTGTTTTGGGGTGGAAACCCCGAGTTTTGGGACTCCTGGCTCTCTTTTGGGGGGTTTCAACCCAAATCCTGATGCTCAAGGCTCTGTTTTGGGGTGGAAACCCTGAGTTTTGGGACTCCTGGCTCTGTTTTGGGGTACCAAACCCCAATCCTGGTGCTCAAGGCTCTGTTTTGGGGTGGAAACCCCGGGTTTTGGGGGGCTCCAACCGCAATCCTGCTGCTCACGGCCCCATTCCGGGTCCATTCCCTGTGTATCCGGCAGAACGCGGCTCTCTTCTGGTGGAACCTGCATCGGAACGGGGCCGGGGCCGGGGCCACGCTGCACGCTGCCTGCCCAGTGCTGGCTGGGGACAAGTGGGGTGAGGCACTGGGGTGACACTGGGATGGGATCCAGGGAAAACCTGGATAATGGGGGAAAAGCAGGGGCAGACGAGGGTCCTTGTCCTTGTCCCTTCCAGTGGCCAACAAATGGATCCATGAGTATGGGCAGGAATTCCGGCGGCCCTGCAGCACGGACCCAGAGGAATGAGGCCACCGTGGGCTCCTGGATGTGGCATCCATGGGTGCACCCAAAGGGGTGGCAGCGCTGTTGGGTGCTGTTGGTGGGAATAAAGATGAAAGATGATGGAGTCTGGAGGGAATATTCCGGTGGGGTATCCTATAGGATGAGGGGGGTTATGTGTGTGTCCCCTCTCACCTGAATCCAGCCTGGATCCTAAATGCATCCTCAAGTCCTAGGTGGAAAGGGTGAACAGAGCAGTGACCCGGCGTTCCAATGGCCATCAGTAAGCTTCAGAGTGAACGTGGCATCTATAGGGAACCAGAGCAAAGGGGCTTCGCTCTCCTTCCTCCACTGAACCCACTGCAGTGCCTGGAGCTCCGTGTGCAGCCCCACATTCCACATCCATCCCAAGAGCAGCATCCCACAAGGGGGGTGGGATTTCTCCTTCACAAGGCAGCGGCTGTAAGAGGGGAGCTGGGGAGGGAGAAGGAAGCCCAGATCCCATGGGATCCCCATCACAGGCTCCCTTTGTCCATCCCGAGCTCAGCACCTGCGTGACTGGAAGGCCAAAAAGGAGCAGGGTGGAGGATGACAGCAGCCCCAGCACAAAGGCTCCCTGTATCCATCCAGCTCCATGTGTTTGAGGTCTGGAGACTACAACCCTCCTGGATGGAGGCACAAGGGGATAGAGCAGGAAGGGGGGGCCCAGGCTGCCCCATTGCTTCTGGAAGAAAAAGGGATAAAGATTGGGAACTCCATGGATGGGAACTCCAGGGTCCTCCTGCTCGTTTTGGGGTTCAAAACTGCACCTTTATCCCCCATGGCTGTGTTCATCCAGCCCCATGTTAACCCTTGAGCAGGCACAATGATGAGCTGGGAGCATGGTCCAGGAGCAAATCCAGGCTCTGTTAAACGTGTTTGGATGTGAAAGTCAGCAAACATCCCTGAATTCCTGCTTTTCCCATAGGAGCATCCCCCCAGCATTCCAGCTGTTAGGAAGCAGAGGGAGCCCAGCACAGGTTAACTGCAGAGCCAGAGCAATGCCAGTTATTACTTCCAGATGTTTCTATCCATGTTGGAGCCATTGGATACGGAGGGGAGGGGAAAAGCTGTGGCTAAAGCATCCCCCCTTCCTCCTGGATGGATGAGGGGATATCTGGGATGCACTCACACTCTCCCTCCCCAGGGTGCCCTGAGGAGGCCGAGGGCTGGAGCTGAAGGAAGGGAAAGGAGGAATTCCCACTCCAGGCTTTTCACAACTGCTTTATTTGTAGGACAGGGAACAAGACACAGAGGGATGAGGCGGACACGGAGCTGATGCACACACACATTTTTCCTTATGGGAACAGCAGCATATGGATAGAGGTCACCCCAGCAGGTTGGGAAAGCCTGGTCAAAACCAGCCAAGCATCCAACAGGAAAGCTTGGAGTGAAACCCCCAGTGTTATCCCATTGGATCCGGATGCTGTATGGACACGGATGCATCAGGGCAGATGAGAGAGCAGAAGGAGGCAGGTTTGGGATGGGAGCAGAGCACCAGGCTCAGAGATGGGGTTAGAATGCACCAGGGCCACGTGGTTATGGGGAACCCCAACCCATCCACCGTGGTTTTGGCCATGCCTGGAGATCCAGGGCTAGGTCTGAAGCGGTGCTGAGCACCAGTTCAAACCAGTGGAGGGCTCACAGCCAGAAACCTTCCCCCAGCTCCAGCACCCAAACTCCAAAGCAACAGTGGAGGGCAGGAAGCAAATCAGTGCTGAAGTCTCCTCCTGGTACCTGCTGGGTGCTCCTCTGTTCCTGAAGGGCCTGTGGAAGGTGGGAACTGATGGTTTCTGGAGTGCTGGCACGGTCCCTCTGAGGCTTCGTCCTGTTGCCATCACTCGGTGGAGAGAGGAAGAGTGAGGTTTGCTCTGAACTGCCCCAGTCTGGTGTTTCCCAGGTGCTGCCACTGAGATCTGGCACAGAATCACCTCTGAGAGCTTCCTGACCATGGGCTCAGACCCCTGTGGCCAGGCAGGAGCAGTTTCACCATCACCAGTGCAGGTCTGAGGGGATTTTCCTATTTCTAGGACTTTCAGAAGTCCTCAAATCCCAGCCTGGGTTGGGTTGAAGGGACCTTAAAGCTCCCCCAGCTCCAACCCCTGCCACAGGCAGGGACCCCTTCCACTGGAGCAGCTTGCTCCAAGCCCCTGTGTCCAACCTGGCCTTGAGCACTGCCAGGGATGGGGCAGCCACAGCTTCTCTGGGCACCCTGTGCCAGCGCCTCAGCACCCTCACAGGGAAGAGCTTCTGCCTAAGAGCTCAGCTCAGTCTCCCCTCGGGCAGGTTCAAGCCATTCCCCTTGGCCTGTCCCTACAGGCCCTTGTCCCAAGCCCCTCTCCAGCTTTCCTGCAGCCCCTTTAGGCACTGGAGCTGCTCTAAGGTCTCCCCTTCAGGAGCCTTCTCTTCTCCAGGCTGCCCCAGCCCAGCTCTCTCAGCCTGGCTCCAGAGCAGAGCTGCTCCAGCCCTCGCAGCAGCTCCATGGCCTCCTCTGGCCTCACTCCAACAGCTCCACATCCCTCTTGTGCTGCTGCCCCAGAGCTGAATCAGGGCTGCAGGGGGGGGTCTCCCCTTCATGCAGTAGAGGGCAGAATGACCTCCCTCCACCTGCTGTCATCTCAGCAATCACAAAGGAGTTGGTATCAGGGCTGAAATGGGCTTTCCCAGGTTGCCCAGTCCCTTTCCTTGCCAAAAGGCAGGGGGAGGGAACATATTCCCTATAGCTGCATCATGTCTGAAAGCCCACTGTCATAGAGGGAAGAAACCCGGTTGTAACAGCCTGAGGATCTCTGCATTGTGACCACAGTCACAAGAAGCATCACCATTCTTAACTGGCTTTGGTATCATCTCCCACCCACTCCACATCTGGCCCAGGGCAGGCTGGAGACAAAGATAAGGCTCAAAGGAGAAGTGAGCTCTGACAGCACCATGATTCAGCAACCAAACACTGAGCGGCTGCACCCGGATGCATCTATCACCCCAGTCACCTCCAGTCCCAAACACCAGCACGGAGGAGCTGTGCTGGGTTAAATGCGTGCAGACACAGGCAGTGAGCTCAGCGTGAGCAGGATCTGCACTCAAAGCAAAGCTATGTGCTCTGGCATACAGGAAACAGCTTTCCCAACAATCCCAGTGCTCCTGGGATCTCCGAGGCACCACTGGTTTGGTCTGGTGCACATAAATCCAGGCGCTGGGGTTGATGCGAGCGAGGCCTGTGACTAACCCAAAACTGCATCTTCTGCTCCTGCCAAGCCTTGGGATTTTCCATTGTGAAAGTTTCCACTGCTCCTCAATCCAACAACTGCAACAAATCAAGAGAGATTGCACAGGATCAGAGAATCATGGGATGGGTTGGGATGAAGGGAGCTTAAAACTCATCCAGCTCCAACCCCTGCCATGGGCAGGGACCCCTTCCACTGGAGCAGCTTGCTCCAAGCCCCTGTGTCCTTGAGCACTGCCAGGGATGGGGCAGCCACAGCTTCTCTGGGCACCCTGTGCCAGCGCCTCAGCACCCTCACAGGGAAGAGCTTCTGCCTAGGAGCTCAGCTCAGTCTAGTGCCAGCTTAAACCCAGCGTCCTTTCATTCCAGCCACCCTCCTCCTCTTTATCTGCTCTTTAACACACAGTACAACGTTGCAGCCCGTGGAAAAACGCAGCAGAAGCTGGTAATTTGGGGGGGGTTTCTATAGTGCCCCATTTTTCATGAGTCAAAGAGAACATTTCTTCTCCCTGCACTTCACTTCACCACGGTCTGCACCATCCTGCACCTAAACACCTGAGACAGGACAAGCAACCACCATAGCAGCACTGACACTCTTCAGTCTCAAAGCACTTGTGGCTTGACACAGCCAAAAGGAATCCTCCTCCAGCCCCCCCTCACCAATGCTGCTGCTGTCCCTGTTGTCACCTCTTAGTGCAGGCAGGACTCTGGGAGCCCCTGCACCTCCTCTGTGTGAGTCAGGGCTGAGCTCAGCACGGAGCAATGTCACATTCGAGAGGCTGTTGAATTCTTTATTGTTTCCCACTCACTTCTCAAATGTCAACAACAAAACAGAATTCCAGGGAGCCCCGAAGCTGTCATTCACCTTCCAGTGGGGTTCTATGGGATACAAAACGGATCTGCTTCTCCATGGAGGGTTGGGGTGGTTGAAGAGCTCACAAAGTGCAAAAGCCAATGAAAGGGGAGAGGCAAAGGCGAGGAGTTACCGCAATGAATCCCTCAAAGCCAGCTGCTCCAATGTTACTTCAGCACACAGGAATGTGGCTTTACCAAGACCATTCATGAGGATGACAACAGGCACATGCTTAACCAGCCCATGAAGTGACTCTGGACATAACACACAGCATTATTTCATCTCTAACAGCTTGAGCACAGGAATCATCCGGAAAGGACCGAGGATTTTGCCAATCTTCAGGATACAGCTTGGGAAAAGTGCTGTTTTGCACCTCAAACTCCATTTAATCCATCAGCAACTAAACCAGGATGCATGTTACATCAAGGTGATAGCAAAGTAATGCAGGAATTAACACACTGACTTACAGAGGGAAGTGTGGAAGCCAACAATTGCTCTTTGAACACCTGAGTGCCGATGGGTGACGTACCAGGAGAGAGGAGAGCTCTCTGGGATGAGGCTTGTCTCTAACCCAAGCATCTCCCACCCTGATGGGTCAGGGAAGGGATGCAGAGCAAGGCCACAACCGCTGTGCCCAGGGCTCACATGCGAATGAAGCAGAGGAGATGAGGGAGATCTCCATCAGGGTGAACACCAAAGCCCAACCAGGCGTTGCCAGCTCTTCACACGACCTCCCTTCAGCCCACCTGCACCTCTCAAAGGCCAAGGATTCATGACAGCTCTTGTCACAGGACGCAGACATCACAGCTCCCAGAATCAGGCCAACAACAGAACTCTTGCTTCAGCAAAACAGCGTTAAACGCTGCTTCCATCATACAGCATCGAGGGGTACGGACACAAGGCAAAAGGAAAAGGGATTTCAGACATCCACTGGCAAAACACTGAGGAAAACTGCTCCAAAACGTGGCTGCTTGCTCTTCGAGTGATTGCTTTCAGCAACCTGGCAAGCTGTCTGTGGATAACTGAACCCTGAAGCAAAGCTCTCCGTGCAACTACAGCATTCACATGGATATCTGGAAGGCAGGCAGCGAACTGGTCGAGGGTGACAGTGAAAACAAGGTCTTTCCTCCAGTACTGGGGAGTATTGGAGCAATGCAGCAGCAGGACAGGCTCCAAACTCTTCCAGGGTTTTATTTCGTGAGCATCTTCCATTTCTTTCATCCAGAAGGTGCTGATCTCTGCTCAGTTGTGTGCAGCAGCGTGAAGGAGGGAAGCAGAAACACATTCCAGGCCTGCTGAGCATGTTGTTAGTGCTGCTCTTGGGTCTTCCCCATGAACACAGGCCCAGAGGCTCCTGCCTGTTATCTTCTGCAGCAGATGGAGTTATCCAGGATGTTTTTGTCAGCAAGAACTTGAAATGAGCATTAAGAAAGCTGTAAGACTCCAGAATGGAGCTCAGGGTCTCCCCTCTTCTTTTTGGTTTACAGGCCCATCCAGCCTTGCTCAGGAGACAGCATCTGGGTTCTTCCTGCAGCTTAACTCATAAGGTTGGCACTGGTGAGGCAAAACCTGAGCTCCCAATGAAACCAATACCTTGTTGCTTTAGGGGAAAGAGATGTGTGTATAAAAAGCAAACCTAAGGGGCACTTCAAAGACGATGAGACAATTCCATGGAGAAATCCTGAAGCCTTTGGCTACGCTGCAATGCCCTCGGTGGATCTGGACTGCCAACAGCCCCTTTGCAGTTGGGTCCAAGAAAGCCTGAGAACTGATGGAGTTATGATCAACTACTTGGGATTTCAGGAGGTCTTTCCTTGTGGCAGCAGAGGGGAGCCCACTTCTGAGTGCCTGAAGAGCTGCTCATGGCCTTCAGTCCAAGCTGCTTCCCAGCAAGGAAGTCCCTAAACATTTACACATTCTGGAGAACTAGGTCTAAGGGGGATGGATCTCACACCAACTTCTCACTGCCGCTGAACTGGAGGGATGAAAGGATATGGGTACATCACAGTGGCCTCTGGTGCAGTTTATTTACAACAGGACTCAGTGCTGGAGAACACCAGGGTATTAACAAGCAGGAAACACACTAGGAGGGAAAAAGGAGAGGGGAAGAGAAGTCACACGTTAAAACCAAAGTATTCTCTGCAGATTGACTCTGCAAAAGCCTAAATTCAGCTGGTAAACAAGGCCAAAAGAAGTCTATCATGCAGAGCAGAACCAGCATTAATGCACTCAATGGTAACTTGTGAGCTACATAAGCAGTGAGAAGCACAAAAGCTTGATATATGGCTTCAAGCACACTCAAGCCACCTCCCTTCCTCCAAGCCTCTTGGTTTAAAGCTGTTCTTGCTAAAACCATAATAGCAGGAGCAACAGATCAGACCCTCAAGACAGCACAGGTTGTCAAATACGTGGTGGAGATTCAACATTACACTGCAGCCCTTTGGTCTTATCCCTCCCCTCACCATTTACACATCAACCTACACCATATCCTTGCATTGATTTCAAATATGCAGCCCAGAGTCCTGCAGTTCCACTGTTTCATCCCCAAGGGCACAGGATAAAGGGGGACAAAAGGAAGAGATCATCCTTTTTAGCGTTGCCAGTCCTACAGCATCACACATTTTGGGGCTTTTGTTGAGGACTTCTTAGCTAAAAGCAGGAAGACTTTTCAAGAATGCTTAAGAAACTGCTTAAAACCTGCTTATTTTACCATTCAGCTGAAAGATGATCCCAAAGCAGACCTGCACCTTCTGAGCTTGGTTTATTTATGAGTTTAAGGTGTGTAACTAAGACTTTGGGGTGTTTTTCCAATCAACCTTATCAGCCACAACCTACTTTCACCATTGTGGCTGCTGGCAGAGACCTGGCTTCTCCAGTTCATTCTGATATGAAAACACATGAGGAAGTCTGCAAAGTGAAGCACATCCTTTACTCGTCTAATCCCACCTGTATTTCTTGGCCAGTGTGGTGCAAGTTGTTTCCAAAACACAGGGCCTTGATTACTTAAGTAAAATGTTATTTAAACTAAATACCACAAAACTTATAATTCTGCCTTTTGGCAGGCTAATAAGAAAGGTATCAGCTTGGGAGGATTCATTGCTCCCATCCAAGGAAGGAGGTTTCATTAAGGTAAGTTAATCACATAGTCATACAATGGTTTGGGTTGGAAGGGACCTTAAAGCTCATCCAGTTCCAACTGCCTGCCATAGGCAGGGACACCTTGGGTCTCCCAAGCCCCTCTCCAGCTTTCCTGCAGCCCCTTTAGGCACTGGAGCTGCTCTCAGGTCTCCCCTTCACACAGCAGAGGGGCAGGATCCCCTCCCTGAGCTGCTGCTCACGCTCTGGGGGTGCAGCCCAGCACATGAGGGGGGTTCTGGGCTCAAGCCCTCACTGAAGCCGGGTCATGGGGAGCTTCTCCTCACCCAGCACCCCAAGTCCTTCTCCTCAGGCTGCTCCATCCAGTCTCACCCCAGCCTGGGTTTGTGCTGGGATTGCCCTCACCCATGTGCAGCACCTTGCATTAACGCCACTGCATTATTGGCTGTGACTCCAAGCTCTTTGGTACATGTGCTTTTAGCATCACGCTAGAACTCCAGCCTCCCACAGCTCTAGCACACACAGAGCCTTACCACTGGAATCCACCGATGGGCTCTGTAAACCTGTGACGGATCAGGAACGTCGCAACAGCTTCAGCAACCTGAGGAAAGGGGGAAAATATGGGTCAGAATTAAAAGGGACATGAAGGTAACAAGAAAACCAGGTGGTTTTCAAAGCCTGAAGCATTTCCAACAACAGATCATGCCCTCAGGTCCTCTTGCTGAATCAAGTTTGCCCCTTTAAGGTTAAGGGCTCCGTGTAACATCCTTTTATAGAAGAAACCAAAAGGAACTACATGCTTCCAGCCTTACTCTGACACTGATATCCCAATCTGACCAAACTCTTTCTCGGCCTCTTTCAGTAATTCTTATAACAATGCCTAAGTTTAGCAGGGGAAAAAGGATGTGGTGAGATCATGGAGCAAGTTATTCCCATAAAGGATAAATCCTGACAGTAATAACATTGCTTAGAATGTATGTTAGAAAGAATAATAATCTAAGAACTTGGTATGTCTAGATAAAAATCCCTATTTCAGACTGGTGAAGCACAGAAAGGCTGAGTTTTAAACTCACAGTGGTCAGTGCAGAATAAGCTTTAAAACCAGATGTGTTTCCAACCACAGGCTCCATCAGCTGCACCACATTCCTGCTTCTGTCATAGAATCCCAGACTGGTTTGGGCTGAAGGGACCTTAAAGCTTATCTAGTACCAATCCCTGCATGGGCAGGGACACCTTCCACTAGAGCAGCTTGCTCCAAGCCCCTGTGTCCAACCTGGCCTTGAGCACTGCCAGGGATGGGGCAGCCACAGCTTCTCTGGGCACCCTGTGCCAGCACCTCAGTATCCTCCAATAGCCAGTTGCCAATGGCCAGTTATGATGTGACAAAAACTGTCCCTGAGGTAAAATCTCTGCATCATAGTAAGGCACAGACCCCACTTGCATTTAAGCTGTGAAGACGATGACTTTTCTAGCTCCAACCCCACAGTGGTGCTGCTCACCTTGTCTGGAGCATCTTCATGGACTGCATGGCCACACTGTGGGAGGACCTGCATCTGAAACTTCCCTGCAGATCAAGAGAGTCATCACTGGAGCTGCTGTTTAAATGACCTTGATTTCTGATAGCCATGGTTTAGACAAGCAGTTTGTGTGTACACAGGAAACATCACACACTACACCCTTAACAGCACTGTGAATTCAGTTCTAAAACAGATTCTTTAGAAGCAAACCTCACTAGATCTCACTATATCACATGTGAAGAGGGAGCAGGGAAAGCACAGAAGTCCAGGGCAGATTATGTAGTACACACAGCAGTTTCCAAAGCCAGAATCAGCTGCTTAATTCATAGAATCATAGAAAGGTTTGGGTTGGAAGGGACTTCAAAAGAAAGAAGCCCTCATGATCATTCTGATCCAAGTGTGGCAGCTCCATGTCTGGAGCTGAACATTAGACTCAACGAGAACCATGGCAACAGCCCTTCACAACTCCTGATGCAGCTTTTCCCTTCTCAACTTACCCACTTTCCCTACAACCACAGACACTTTGGGATGGATGAATTCATGCGTGCTTGTTTTGATACAGACTGCACCTGGTGAGAGGCTATTCCAGCTCTTCCTCCTGTATGAACCCATTGCAACAAACTACCACCCAAAAAGAGCACTACCATAAGGATAGAGTAATAGCATTAAGTATTTACCTTGCATCTGTCCAATTGTTAGATCTTTATCCAGCCTGTCAACACCTACAATCAAATAAAGAGATGGATTGGAAATACGACTGTCTAAGCAGGGCTTTACTCCTTACTTTGATAGAGAGATTTAACAAAAGAAACACCCCTGACACCTACCATAAGGACATTTCCCTGCTGCACCTCAAGAGAGCAAAGTGACAGGGAAAAATCCCAGTCCAAAATGAAAGAATACATCCCTCCTTACAATTTAAAAGGGTATTTGTTTTGGTTACACACTGTATTCCCTATTAAGGCACAAAAAGGGGCCTATATCTGGCTGCAGAACATCAAAAATTTGGCTTTCAGTTGAAATGAAGTTCAAATCATGCACAGGTAGTAATGGAGGCTGAAGGGCAGCTGGGATCTGTCCTGTTTGTCCCTCTTCCACATCATAGAACAAAACCACCCCTCCAACAGCAGCAGTACACAATATGTCATTATGCGCTGCTTTGGTGTTAGAGGTTCTGAGCTGATTGCAGGTTGGCATGCATTAAATGGATGGTTTTACAGTTCAAGATACGTAGAGAAGCCGAGGTGGAAAAGAGAGGTCCGGTGTTCTTGGAAAAAGGCATAAGCCAAATCCTATTCCCCAAAATCATAGAATAGTTAGGGTTGGAAAGGACCTTAAGATCATCCAGTTCCAACCCCCTGCCATGGGCAGGGACACTTTGCACTAAACCATGGCACCCAAGGCCTCGTCCAGCCTGGCCTTGAACACTGCCAGGGATGGCGCATTCACAACCTCCCTGGGCAACCCATTCCAGTGCCTCACCACCCTCACCACTCCTTATATCCAATCTAAACTTCCCCTGTTTAAGTTTTAACCCATTACCCCTTGTCCATCCCCAGCATCCCTATAGGCCCCCTTCAGACACTGCAAGCTGCGCTGAGGTCTCCACACAGCCTTCTCTTCTCCAGGCTCAACAGCCCCAACCTTCTCATCCTTTCTTCATATGGGAGCTGCTCCAGCCCCTGATTATCCTCGTGGCCTCCTCTGGACTTGTTCCAGCAGTTCCAGTCCTTTTTATGTTGAGGACACCAGAACTGCACACAAAACTCCAGGTGAGGTCTCAAGAGAGCAGAGTAAAGCGGCAGGATCACCCCCAAATCCAAGCAGGACATCACTGAAGTCAACAGCCACTGAAGCTGAGCAGGACTGGAAGAGCCACGTACCAGCTAAAAGCAAGAGCTTTGGCGTTGGGCAGCTCAGGAAGAGGTTTGACAAGCCCCTGAACCAGCCATCCCAGTACTTCTCTGTTTTCGCCAGTTCGATCCGCCACGTGTATAAGTGCTCCTTCTTTGTCTGCAGGGAGGAAAAAGAGAGAGCTCTGCATTAGGCATCACTAAAGCAGCTGAGATAAAATGAACCCGAGGGCCAGTTGGAAGTACATCTAGGAAACAACTGGCTCCCTCTGGTGGAGGTGATTCCAAGGGGATGAGCCTCTTTGTTCCTAAATTCCTCCCCATATGAAGCCAAAGTAGGGAACAAGAAAGTCAGCAGGAGCTACACATACAGATCAAGAGAAGGCTGCAGTATTCAGGGTGCTCAATTTGCTTGGTTTTACTGGCACAAATAGCTTGCAAATGGTCTGAACGTTCACACTTGGCTCTCAGGTGATAGAGAAATACAAGGGGCTAAGCTGGCTCCAGTGATTTTCCTCAAGGAATTTACAATCCTGGGTTGCAATCATCTGGATGAGCTCCTGAATGCTCCTGTGCCTTGGAAGTGAACAAAAATAGCACAAAGACTCAGAACAGAGCATTTCCCATTCAGGCCAGAAGCCTTATTTCAAGTGCTACACATTAAACCTGTGAGCAGCTCAGGAAAGGAAACCAAACCCAGGCTTTCAGGTAATAGCCCAGGATAGAACTGGTGAAGCGAGATGAAGAAGGAAAACAACATTCCCAGTATAAAGTTTTCAGTGCCTGGAGTTGCTCCCTTTTATATTAGGATGATCTGGATCACTACTGGTGGCTGCTCTTCATGGGAGCATCAGGCAAACACAGCTGAAAACACAGCAAGAAACTTCCTACCTCTGTGTCATCTTCTTTCTTCCTTTTGTTGACAGAGCCTCCCCCTTCCTCATTCTCTTCCTCCTCTTCCTCCTCTTCAATAATACCCTCCACTATGGCTTTAGGACATTCAGGGCTTGCAGCCCCTTCACACCTGGGAAATAAAAGCAGAAAATGATTCCCTGCCAAACAGAGCAGGTTTTAACCTGAAGTGTTCAGCAATTTCGCAGATAGTGGTTGAAAAAGCGTTTTCAAGCTTAAAAGTAGCTTTGGATGGAAGATACAGTCATGAGGATGAGCCATGGGACCAAGTGCCTGTGCAGCATGTGTATCCCAAAGCTATTATCAGTGCAAATAGAGGCAAAAAATGGTTAAACAATCAACAACTGCTTTACTTCAAGGAGTATGAGCTATATGTAAAGGCTTTGGATATATCAAGGATTAGAGTGGTATAACCAGGTTACTCTGATCCTCACAACCCACCCCAGATCACTCCCTAAATGCAACAGATAAATAAAGCATTACTAAAAGGGAGCAAAAGAGTCCATACCCAAAAGGTCAGCCTGATTTAGGACATGATTTCTGAAGAGGCATCAGACTGACACTTGTTTCTTAATGTGTGCAGAAACCCAGACAACCAAAGGAATGCACAACCAGCAGCAGTTAAAACATGGCTCTTGGTGGATTTTTGCTGCTGTTGGCATCAGCTGTGATCAAACGGTAAGAAATCTGTGTTTGCTAGAGGAAATCTCCCCTTTCAAGCACATTTGTGGCATTGTAAGCCAGAAAAGATGATTTTAAGAGCTTTAAATACCAAAACAAAACCAAAAACCACCTACTGTTTGACTTGACCGACCATAGACACTCGGGCAGATTCAAGGTTTCTTATCTGTCCACTTTTTACACTAGGGAAGAAATAAAAATAAATCAGAAGAAGGGCACAAATAATTACTAAATAGGAACTCTCAGGCTCAGAAACAGGAATAAAACCCTTCTACAGTGCATTATTTCCCCAAAAGATCCCATTCTCAGCCATTCACAGTGGCTCATGCTACACACCGACCTACTTGAACCCTTACTGTCACTGTAACTGTGGATTTAAAAGCACTGGTGGGGTAACACTGAAACAGGGTTGTACCCATTTCATTGCAGGGGACAGGGAGAAGTCAGAAACAACGTGGGTATTTGGGAGCAGAAGTGGGCTTGCTGTAGGCCAACTTACAAATGTAGCCATAAAACCTCTTCCTTTCACATTCAACTGCCAAATGTAAAGGTAATTCTTGATGAATCCTGTTTTTACACATGGGAATGATGTCTCGAGCTTCTTCTCTAAGAGCTGGGACACTTACAAGGAAGCTGCAATTCATTACCATGAGGCTTTCCATTAGTTGAAACACTTAGAGGATCCTTCTCCAATGCCCAACCAACTCTCTTGGGAAATTAATGACAGGCTGAGAGAGCTGGGCTGGGGCAGCCTGGAGAAGAGAAGGCTCCTGAAGGGGAGACCTGAGAGCAGCTCCAGTGCCTAAAGGGGCTGCAGGAAAGCTGGAGAGGGGCTTGGGACAAGGGCCTGTAGGGACAGGCCAAGGGGAATGGCTTGAACCTGCCCGAGGGGAGACTGAGCTGAGCTCTTAGGCAGAAGCTCTTCCCTGTGAGGGTGCTGAGGCGCTGGCACAGGGTGCCCAGAGAAGCTGTGGCTGCCCCATCCCTGGCAGTGTTCAAGGCCAGGTTGGACACAGGGGCTTGGAGCAAGCTGCTCCAGTGGAAGGGGTCCCTGCCTGTGGCAGGGGTTGGAATTGGATGAGCTTTAAGTTCCCTTCAACCCAAACCAGTCTGGGATTCCATGATTTTGGGGATTACAATAAACTCAAGCATTACCTCCACTCAATGGCATTTTCCAGCGACTTGAATGTTTTGGGACGACTCCTTAAGAAGTTCTGCATGCTGTTCAGTGCATCCATGGCTGTACCTAAAACCAAGTATTGTAACTTGATGGCATCTGATGAAATTATTGCCACATCCCTCTACAGAGAACTGCCTCCCAGGGAAGACCCTCAGAGAGGGCTGGAGCTCACTGGGGATTTAATGCTGTTAAGGAAAGCACAACTCACTGCTCCTAAGCCCAAAGTCATACTTGCTCCCACATTAGGAAATTAATATTTGAAGAGATAGGACATTCAGATAATAAGAGAAGGCAATAATCACTAAGCATACACCATGCGTCCTATAAAAAGCCACCCTCCTCCCCTCTAATAAGAAAGTATTGCAAGGAAATTACAGGAAAAACAGCAAACTGAATCTGACTGGGAAAAGAAAAAGGAGGGGTGAGAGCAGAAACACTTTTGTGTAGGATGGAATCAGGATTGGATTAAAACTGGGCAGAACCTTCTGGATTTGGGGATTTGGGCATAAAAGACATGCGTGGAAGACAGAACCCCATCCAAACGGACAGAACCCCATCCAATGGGATAGAATCCCATCCAATGGGACAAACTCCCATCCAAAGGGACAGAACCCCACCAATGGGACAGACTCCCATCCAAAGGGACAGAACCCCATCCAATGGGACAAACTCCCATCCAAAGGGACAGAACCCCACCAATGGGACAGAATCCCATCCAAAGGGACAGACTCCCATCCAAAGGGACAGAACCCCACCAATGGGACAGACTCTCATCCAAAGGGACAGAACCCCATCCAATGGGACAAACTCCCATCCAAAGGGACAGAACCCCACCAATGGGACAGAATCCCATCCAAAGGGACAGACTCTCATCCAAAGGGACAGAACCCCATCCAATGGGACAAACTCCCATCCAAAGGGACAGAACCCCACCAATGGGACAGACTCCCATCCAAAGGGACAGAACCCCACCAATGGGACAGACCCCCATCCAAAGGGACAGACTCCCATCCAAAGGGACAGAACCCCACCAATGGGACAGACCCCCATCCAATGGGACAGAACCCCATCCAAGGGGACAGAACCCCACCAATGGGACAGACTCCCATCCAATGGGACAGAACCCCATCCAATGGGACAGAACCCCATCCAAAGGGACAGACTCCCATCCAAAGGGACAGAACCCCATCCAAAGGGACAGACTCCCATCCAAAGGGACAGAACCCCATCCAAAGGGACAGAACCCCATCCAAAGGGACAGAACCCCATCCAATGGGACAGACTCCCATCCAAAGAGACAGAACCCCATCCCAGGGCACAGACCCCCATCCCAGGGGACACACACTCACCTTCCACCACATCGATCATGCAGAGCCCCAGTAAACTTGGCACCAGGTTTGCGACCGCCGTGTGCACCGCGATGGCCCCCCCCATGCTGTGCCCAATGAGCATGATGGGGGGCGGGAGGTCCCCATACAGAGCTTCCACCACGTTGCCAACATCTCTGCCAAATGAGAGCACAGATTAGTTGGGGTCTGTATCCTGAGGCATTCCTGAAGATTTCATGGTAGGAGGAGATAGTACAGATCCAAGACCTGTTTCCAGCTCTCAATCCTGTCTGTATGCAACAACCCACAGGTAACAAATGCATTCTCTGATCACTAGATGGGCTTTAAAGTCCTTTCCAACCCCAACCACTCCATGAGTCTATGACTTAATCTAGGTACCAATACAGGGAATCATTCAAACCAATACTGTCCTGAACAAGCACATAATTTCTGCTTTTACTAAAGGAAAATGCTCATTTAAGTGCTTTTTAATAAAAGAAAGAGCAAGATCCTGCCCCGTGGTTAGGGCAATCCCAGGTACAGGTACAGCTACAGGCTAGGCAGAGAAGTGATTTAGAGCAGCCCTGAGGCCCAGAACCTCGCTTTGTGTTGGGCTGCATCCCCAGCATTGTGAGCAGCAGGTCAAGGGAGGTGATCCTGCCCCTCTGCTCTGCTCTGGTGAGCCCCCACTTGCAGCACTGTGTGCAGTTCTGGGGTCCTCAACATCAGAAGGACATGGAGCTGTTGGAGCAAGTCCAGAGGAGGCCACGAGGATGCTCAGGGGCTGGAGCAGCTCCTGTATGGAGCCAGGCTGAGAACATTGGGGCTGTTGAGCCTGGAGAAGAGAAGCTGCATGGAGACCTCAGAGCAGCTTCCAGTATCTGAAGGGGGCTACAGGGATGCTGGGGAGGGACTCTTCATTAGGGACTGCAGTGACAGGACAAGGGGTGATGGGTTCAGACTGAAACAGGGGAAGTTTAGATTGGATATAAGGAGGAAATTCTTTCCTGTGAGGGTGCTGAGGCACTGGAATGGGTTACCCAGGATGCTGTGAATGCTCCATCCCTGGCAGTGTTCAAGGCCAGGTTGGAGAGAGCCTTGGGTACCGTGGTTTAGTGTGAGGTGTCCCTGCCCATGGCAGGGGGGTTCGAACTTGGTGATCTTAACGTCCTTTCCAACCCAAACCTTTCTATGATTCTGTGATTGACATTTACTGAAGAGCACTGTAGCTTAAGACAACCAAATTGGGTTTCCTGCCTCAAAGCATTCAGAGGCAGGAGACCTGAGCAGTACTGCAACTGGAAAATGGGAAACGAGTCAAAAACCCAAGGATGATCAGTTTGTTTGCTCTGTCAGAGAAAATTCCTTGAGGATTTGAGAAGAAAAAAGAAACCCTACTATAATTTAAGGCTCCTATTTAAAGTCAGGGATAACTCTCAAGATCATTGCTAAAAGGAGAGGATGGTTTAAAACCAAAAGGGACTTGTTCCCCCTCAAGCAGTTTTGCTTCAGATCTAAAATTTCTCATCATTCCATACAGTGTTTCCTCAGGACAACACCACATGAGGATCTGACAAGCCACAAGCAGTAGCAATAAGGCACACAATGGAAGTCAGAATTCATTTCACACATGGCCTCCCCTCAACAAACCAAGTGGATTTGTCCATAGGAAGGTTACAAAATCCTTCATGATTTAATTGTTTCATAGCAAAGGGTCTCTTTGTATCAACTATGGACATAACAATGTGTTTAACAGTGGGGATTTGCTTTTCTTACAGCTTTGTCAAGAGGGAGATTTGCATCCCAAAGCAAGTCAGGGCAGCCTGAAACAGCAACTCCCTCCATGCTTTAAAGTCTCAGTCTGTGCCCCACACTTTGGGGGTGATATCAATTTTAAGCTTGGTGATTTCAAGCTAAAATGCCCAAATTGCTTATATCCAAGGAAAGAAATTCCCTTCTGCTGGTTTAAAGTGTTCACTGCAATGAAGCCACTGCTCTTTAAAGCCTGGAGTACAATTCAGTTGGGAATCTGACTTAGCTGGAAGAGACCTAATTCCAAACAGATTTAAACTGTCCCAAAATGGGAGAAGAAAGGATAACTACCAGACTCATGTGAAATGAAACCACCTTCCAGCTCCCTGAACAAAGGCTGTGTGTCCTCAAGTAGTTTATTGCTCAATAGATAAAGGTTTGTGAACAGTGAAACACTAAAGAGAGCATCAGCATCCTTACTTTGACATAGTCTCTGCAGAGAGATCTTCAGGATTCCTCACTTTGGTTTCTCCTGAAAGAACAAGCAAAAATCAAGTTCACACAAGCTGAAAACCTTCAGAACCCCTCAGGATTTAGAGCAGTAACTGCACAAAGCTTTTTGGCACAGTTATTAAGAGCAAGGCTACTACAGTTAACATGAATAATGAAGAACCAACCCCAGAGTTAATAGGAACAGTTGGTACTTTATCATAGGAAACACTCCCCATAATGTTCCATATTTGCAGAGTACCTTAAAACTAAAGAACAGAGCTTATTTCTAATGGTAAAGACCAGCTATGGGTTATGAAACATGAAGGAAGGGCTTGGTAGCAGTATGTGAGAAGGAACAAGTCCATCACTGCCTCACACAAAGGCACAGGGAGTCTCAGCTTCTGGTACATGAGGATGGATAGCTGCAGAGCTCTCTTTTCCATCTCTGCTTTGGCATAAACATTGGGATACCTTAAGGATGCTTTTTTAGTCCTTTTAGCAGGGATTTGTTACATCTTCTTTAAAATACAAGAGTGTGAAACATGCTTTTTGTGATTTGGGTTTGATTTCTTTCACCTACCATGGCCTCGGAGATCTAAAGCCACAATCCGGCACTGAATCCTGTTAATGATTGCAGCCTGCAAGAGGGAACAAAGAGGATGTCATTTGCAAAGTGCCACCCCCTCAGCTACAACAGGCTTAACAACAGCCTGAAACAGCAGCAAAGGTGACAAAACCCCTTCTACTGTCCAAGTGGCTGAACCTGGATTGCACAAGGTCACAGGAAGCAAGCAAGAGTATTCTGTATGAGCTAGCCTTAATTCACCAAAGCTCCATCCTTTCTATCTGAGGACATTTATCCCATGGTGCATAAGACATTATGAGTGTTTCCTGGGGTAATGAATTCAAGTTCTGTAGCACCTCAGCAAACTGAAGTGCATCAGTGGGATCAGACACCAAAGTAATGCCTCCCCTTCCCCACACCTGACAAAGCTGAGTCTTGGCTGTACAGCAGGGATGAAGATGAAGGAGCAAAGATTCCATTTGCTCTCAGAGAACAGAATTCTACAGTGAGGTCGAAATGTACAAAAATTGATCAGTCCAAAGGGACTGGGGGACACAAGTGAGGGATCTTTTTAAAGTAAGGGAGGGCTGCAATAAGATTACGCTCTATTTGTCCCCGACAGCTCCAGTTCTGTAAGTTATTTCAGGCATCACAGTGATTAAGTGTTGAAAGGAAGGTTTCTATGTAAAGGAATCATTGATTATTTAAACAGCCCTGCAGGAGTGGGGAAATTTCATAGAAGAAACCAAGTTTGGGTTGAAAGGGACCTTAGAGCTCATCCAGCTCCAACGCCTACCATGGGCAGGGACCCCTTCCACTGGAGCAGCTTGCTCCAAGCCCCTGTGTCCAACGTGGCCTTGAGCACTGCCAGGGATGGGGCAGCCACAGCTTCTCTGGGCACCCTGTGCCAGCGCCTCAGCACCCTCACAGGGAAGAGCTTCTGCCTAAGAGCTCAGCTCAGTCTCCCCTCAGGCAGGTTCAAGCCATTCCCCTTGGCCTGTCCCTACAGGCCCTTGTCCCAAGCCCCTCTCCAGCTTTCCTGCAGCCCCTTTAGGCACTGGAGCTGCTCTAAGGTCTCCCCTTCAGGAGCCTTCTCTTCTCCAGGCTGCCCCAGCCCAGCTCTCTCAGCCTGGCTCCAGAGCAGAGCTGCTCCAGCCCTCGCATCTCTGTGGCCTCCTCTGGACTCACTCCAACACCATGCAGAAAGTTACCAGGCCAATAAGCAAAAGCAGAAAGGAGCACACTGCTCCTGCAGGCTGTTATTTTATTTATCAATGGTTACTCACAATATTTCCCCAATTTGGATTTCTTCTTGTTTTTTTAGGGGAAAGGGTCTATTGGGGTTGTTTTTAACGTCTGGTTCATCCCAAACATTTAACACTCAATTGCTTGAGCCAAGCTTTCATTTCAAGATGCACAAAGGAAATAACTCTATAGCAGCCACGCAAAGGCATGAGTTAATTGTGGCTGCTTCCTCCTGCAGATGCAGTCTCAAGCGTGAGATGTAAATCTATGTGAATCCTGCTTGTGATCTCTGTTAATTGCTATAACAACATATAGTAACATATAAAGCCAATACAGTGTGATGACTGCAATCACTCTGCTAAATTCAGCTCTAGGGGGTTTAAAATGCAAACATGGTATTGGTGTTGTTATTGCAAATAGAGCTCTACAGAGGGTGGAAGCGACTTTTAAGAAGCCTCTTCCTTAACTCAGGAACATGTGATTTCATGCCTCTGCCTCTAAGAGCAATGACCTTCACTGCATAACCAAAGCACTGAACTAGGAGAGTAAAAGGCATCCATCCAGTTAGTGAGCTACAAGCAAGTACCTAACAGGCTTTAGCCTTAAATCTCCAGCTTACTAAAAGTCCAACAGTTTTAGGAGACCCAGATCTGCACCAGTCTCCAGTTCAGGTAAAGTTCAAAATGAACTGTAATTTGGGTACTATTCAGGACCAGAATTACAGCCCAGTTGGCAAAGTATTTTTCTAATGTGTCTTATATTATAAGGTGGTTTATGCTTACACCAGGATTACTCCAGAATCACGTGGGGAAATCAAGAGCAGTCACTAGTGACCCTTGTGAAATATTCATGCTTGTATCTCATTTGGATCTCTGCTTAAAGACTAAGTCATGTCCAGCCCAATGGCCTAAGGGAATGTATATGACCTAGCCAAAAGCATGGGGTAGATGAAGAGACTTCAGCCACTCCTCCATGGAAGCCATCCTAGAGCATCATGCTGTATGCTCAAAGAGTCCCTGTATTAATAAGGTCCCAAATAAAAATCACACCCTGCAAGTGATTTTACTTTACTTGTCATCCTTTAGAGGTTTTCTTCCTTAACTCCCTTCATTTTCCAAAGGGAATAGGGTGGGACGGATGTTTGTTTGGCCAGTCCTCACACTCACTCCCCTACTGACACCACCTCAATGTTGCTTGAGCACCAAAGGAGATTCCTTGACATGCCAAACAGGGCTTCAACACACAATGACAGCATCATGATGAGATATAGATGCTGGAATTTCACTGGTAGTCATGAAAAAGCAGCCTTCTGGAAAATAAATGGGTATGGTACGAAGAGAAATGCCTTAGAAACTCACAGGAGCTATTTAGAAGACCTGAATCAGGTACAAACCAGATCTAAGAGAGCTTCTGAACTGATTCTCCTGTGTTTAACATAGCTGAGAGGTGAGTTGCCTTCCACATTACCATGACTATATTCACGTAGATACATACTTGCATAAAGCAGCAGGTTACTTACAGTAAATACAGCCCAGGAAAGAGCAGAATGGCCTCCACCATGTAAAAGCAGCAGGACAGGCCCCTCCAATCCACTCTTGTAAATTCGAAAAGTGTATGAACAGTTAAGGACATTCCACAGAGTTACTTGAAGTCTGAGTCTATTTTAGAGTCCCCAACACCCAAGAGAGGTTTGTTTCCACCCTTGTGCACCCAAGGCCTGATATGACAAGAGGAACCGGCCTCAAGCTGCACCAGGGCAGGTTTAGATGGAGCTGAGGACCAATTCCTGCCCCAGAGGGTGCTCAGGCATTGGAACAGGCTGCCCAGGGCAGGGCTGCAGGCACCGGCCCTGCAAGAGTTCACACCCCATGGAGACGAGGCCTCAGTGCCATGGGGCAGTGGTGGCCTTGGCAGTGCTGGGAGCAGTTGGATTGGATGAGCTGAAAGGGCTTTTCCAACCCAGTTCATTCTATGGTTCTATGATTTTTCCTCTTATCAACAGGCATGTGCAAGCATAACCTGGACAAAATGTAACTTGATTTAAGCTTTAAGAGTTGTTTTCCTGCTGCCCAGGTCTCCTCTTCAATGTAATCCTCCCTGAATGATCTTTAAGGTCTCTTTCAACCCAAACCGTTCTGTGACTCCATGAAAAACTAAAAGAAAAAGCAAACCATGACCAGCACTTTGGAGCATGTTTTGGTTTGGTGTAATTCCTTATGACTTCCAAGGAAAACTGAGAGATAAGCCAGGAAATGAGACTTTTAAGGCAATGTAATTACTCTCTGGAACACACACAGCAAGGATGCTTCACCAGAGCAGCTAAAATCCCTTACAGTATATATTTAGATGGAGAAAAATCAGTTGAACCATCACTAAAACCAATGTCACCTAGGGAAAGGCGCAGAATTGGAAGTCATGAGATGTGTGTTCAGTGCCCAGGACTGTGACCAACAGATCAGACAAGACACTTCACCTCCTTCCACTGTTCTCCTGTTTTTGGGGTGAACAAAAGCATCCTGTTGAACCCAACCCTGCTTGCTGCTGTTACTGATGAGGCTGTTTATTGGTTTTCTGCAGTTCCCTTTGGATCTGCTGTTGGCAAACAGCTCATGCAGGTGCTCCCTGTGGCATTTCAGTTATGCTGTGTCAGCTTAAGCAGTTTCTTCAGCTGGGGTCTGTCCACATGACATCTGATGGAATGGTAGCAGGTAGCTCAGGCAGACCAGTGGGCACCAGCTACACTCATGAGGTCAGTAGACATTTGTCCACAACCTTTCATACAGGAGCTCAAACTTCTGTTAAAGGGAGATGAATAGATCCCAAACAACTAAGATTAGCTTAAACCTGGGATGCTTATGGACATCACCTATGCAAACAGGTCCGTTATCCTTTTCATTTTACTACTTATGAAGCCTCAGGTGTGTGCACAGCATTGACATCAAAAGCAGACACGGTGCAAAACATGGAGAATTAATGGTATTAACTGGAAAAATGCCTCTTGTTAACAGAAAATAATGACAAGTTGAGCAAAACAACATGGAGAGAGAATTGTCTCGTCTCAAATATGCTGCTGGCATTAGAGACTCAATTCTAAATTGACTGGCATTTGGAGAAAAATAGCTTGGAAGGTTACTCTTCCTAATGGCCAAGCTAGAATATGCATGCTTAAAAAGGATGCAACTATTAAAACTGCAAGGTTGTGTTATTTAAACACAGATTACAACGGTTTCATGTTGTAACTAGGTCAGAGACCTTGAAGTACCTCTCAAACCTGCTTTTGCCAGAGCTGTAGGCAAAGGTAAGACTGATAGGAAGCCTTGTCCCAGCACCTGCACACACTACGCTTGTTGGGAAGCTCCCAGTAGCAAATGGGATGGACACAACAGCAATCTGAACACCTAAAAGAGGATGACTGCTATTAACTGGATTAAACTACAGCTGAAGAGTAACAAAGAGTCAGCTTGAAAAGGAGTATAGAAGAAATATGAATGTTTGCAAAGGAAGCAGAGACCTTGGAGATGAAACCACTGCAGTCAAACTTGGTTTGATGCTGCCAGAAGACTCTATTATGGCATCAAGTCCTTCACCTTGGTCAGAGTAAGAAGTTTCCCAGTCTGCACACAAGAGGGTGGACTGATAATCTGAGGTGCAAGGAGGGACCCACACCTTGGGTGTGTATATATGGGAACTCACATGCTGCTTCCTCCGTGCCATTTGTGTTAGTGGGAGCAGCATGAGTGGTTCCCATACAATCAGATCATAGAATCATCCCAGGTTTGGGTTGGAAGGGACCTTCAAGCTCATCCAGCTCCAACCCCCTACCATGATAGGACATCTTCCACTACAGCAGCTTGCTCCAAGCCCCTGTGTCCAACCTGGCCTTGAACACTGCCAGGGATGGGGCAGCCACAACATCCTCACTGTCAGTTTAGAAGGGATAGCTCTACTTACTGATACTGGCTGCTGCAAAAGAAGAAATGAAAGATGAGTAGTGGTACATTAAAAAGTTGAAAAGAACCCCAATAAACTAAATAACACATAAAACTGCTCCAGTCACTCAGAGGAAGAACAATTCCATCTGGAAAAAAAGGATATATCCTTGCCAGTCTCATTTTCTACCACGACATCCTCCATAGATTCAAAGTACTGGCTCCAAAGCACTGGTGAAAAGTCACGTTTCCTTCCAGGGCTGCAAGACAAAAAAACATCAGTAAGAAAGAGGTATTTTTAAAGTCATTCATTTAAATACAAGTGTCATTAGATTCACTGAAGAGAACACAGCAGAGTTACACACCAGTTGACTAGAAGCAAATGATGTTACTGAAATTCCCATACAAAACCAGTGATTTCATTATTGCTAAGGAAATCCTCCCCTACTTTCCTGCCTGTTACTCCTACGAAGGAGATCACAAAGATGCTCAGGGTAAGTACTGAATACACAGAGGGAAGAGTATTTTTCTTGTAAACTAATACCAAGGAAGACTGGACCATGGTGTTTTAGACTACACAGACCTCAGCCAAGGGAAAAGAAAAAGAACAGGGCACAGAGTGATGCTGCTCCTGTACAACCTCCCCACCTGCAACCACACATCAGGTGCTCCAAAACACAGATAAAAGTTATTAAATCACAGAACCCCAGACTGGTTTGTGTTGGAAGGGACCTTAAAGCTCCTCCATTCCCAACCCCTGCCATGGGCAGGGACCCCTTCCACTGGAGCAGCTTGCTCCAAGCCCTTGTGTCCAACCTGGCCTTGAGCACTGCCAGGAATGGGGCAGCTACAGCTTCTCTGGGCACCCTGTGCCAGCGCCTCAGCACCCTCACAGGGAAGAGCTTCTGCCTAAGAGCTCAGCTCAGTCTCCCCTCGGGCAGGTTCAAGCCATTCCCCTTGGCCTGGCCCTACAGGCCCTTGTCCCAAGCCCCTCTCCAGCTTTCCTGCAGCCCCTTTAGGCACTGGAGCTGCTCTAAGGTCTCCCCTTCAGGAGCCTTCTCTTTTCCAAGCTCAGATAAAGAAAATACCCTTCTATTTAATGGTCTTGCTCTAGCCTTACAGCAAGCCTGATGCTGGCATGACGTGGAGTGCTCAGGAACTCAGGAAACCATCCTACATTTATGACTTACCCCATGAATCATAATTGAAGGAAAAAGAGGAAGTCTTGCTCAGAAGTCACCTTGACACCACAGCATTGAAATGCAGAGTGCCAGCTATTTGCTAATGATTACTATTACCTTATGTGTATTACCTGTTGGATTACAGCTTTCCTAGAAACCTCCTCTTAGTTATAAAAGCAGTATCACTCAACTGGAGAGTCAACCTGTTCCGAAGGCTGAGTGGCTGCAGAACAACTATGGAGAGAACTAAGCACTGTGTTATATAGAACAAACATAGCAACACTGGTGGGAGCAGAACACACAAAAGCCACCAGGTTGAAGTTAGCAGCAGGAGCATGTTCTAATCACAGTATTCCTGGAATTTATTGCAATGGCTAAAACTTTACCATATTTGTAAGCAGATTTCTACTTCAATATTGTATGCAGGGATTGTGAAGGAAAAGAAAAAGGTTAATTAACTCAGGATGTGCTCCCACATCTATCCTTTAACTATAAGGATTATGAGAACAGCATCACAAAAAAACCCACTTTGGTCCAGAGAAGGGCAGCGGAGCTGGTGCAGGGTCTGGAGCCCAAGTGTGATGGGGAAGGGCTGAGGGACCTGGGGGGTTCAGATGGAGAAGAGAAGGCTCAGGGGGGACCTGATGGCTGCCTCCAAGTGCCTGAGAGGAGGATGGAGCCAGGAGGGGCTGGGCTCTGCTCCCAAGGAACAAGGGATGGGACAAGAGGAACCGGCCTCAAGCTGCACCAGGGCAGGTTTAGATGGAGCTGAGGACCAATTCCTGCCCCAGAGGGTGCTCAGGCATTGGAACAGGCTGCCCAGGGCAGGGCTGCAGGCACCGGCCCTGCAAGGGTTCACACCCCATGGAGACGAGGCCTCAGTGCCATGGGGCAGTGGTGGCCTTGGCAGGGCTGGGAATGGTTGGACTGGATGAGCTTAAAGGGCTTTTCCAACCTGGTTGACTCTGTGATTCGATGTTCTTAACAGCTACACAGACAACTGCCTGTGACTCAGAAAATATATACTCATGGAATGGTTTGGATTGGAAAGCACATTAAGATCATCCAGTCCCAACTCGCTGCCATGGGCAGGGACACCTTCCACCAGAGCAGGTTGCTCCAAGCCCCATCCAACCTGGCCTTGAACACTGCCAGGGATGTTCTTCCTGGACCTACAGCATTCTTTGAAAGGCTGAGGTTGGAATGTGGTATTTTTCCTTGAATCTGAGAATGAGATTAGGCTGAGACACTAAGAGAAGTTAACGTTCTCTGGCTTGGTGTAGGTGTGTGACATCTCATGTAACCAGTATTTGACAGGAACAGCACTGAGGTCTGGAAACCCACAGAAGTGAATCTGGACCATTCAGGGGGTGGTTGGTTCATGTTTCATATTCTAGAAATAGCAGGGGAAACAGGAGCTTTGTTTCCACACAACTGAAGAGCTTTGCCTGTTCTTTGCTACGTCTTTAGGAAGCCAGGAATAGGAGAAACTCCCCTCAAGAGGGATTGTTCCCCTGTGAAGGTCTTTCACCCCCACACCAAGGCTTGATTTCAATACTCTCCCCTGCCTGCCTCCCCCAGAAGAGATGAAGTGCAAAAAGGCTGTTAAAACGGTGCTCTGTTACTCATCCTGTATCCTGGGCTCCAATGTAGCCTAATTATGTTACTGCCAAAATTAAGCACTACTCTTTTAGCCTGGCTGAGTGACTGCGAGCCTGAGAAACAGCTTCTGTAGCAACTGAGTCATCAGGAAAATTCTGATTGCAGAGCCTTTTGTTAGCAATGGGGATACAAGGAGAGGGCACAGCTGCACCTTTCATAGAGCCACAGAATGGGTTGGGTTGGAAGGGACCTTAAAGCTCCTCCAGCTCCAACCCCTGCCACGGGCAGGGACCCCTTCCACTGGAGCAGCTTGCTCCAAGCCCCTGTGTCCAACCTGGCCTTGAGCACTGCCAGGGATGGGGCAGCCACAGCTTCTCTGGGCACCCTGTGCCAGCGCCTCAGCACCCTCACAGGGAAGAGCTTCTGCCTAAGAGCTCAGCTCAGTCTCCCCTCGGGCAGGTTCAAGCCATTCCCCTTGGCCTGGCCCTACAGGCCCTTGGCCAAAGATGCCAGCACAGCGATGCTCTGGAAAGGGTTAAGCAGTGAACAGGTTACATCCTGCCTCCAAATTTTCACTATTAGAGGACTGGGATCTCCAGAGGCTGCATCCTCAGCACTGTTACACTCAGGATGGGCAGCTTCCATTAGCTCATCACATAGAACAGAAGCCACTTCCAGAGCTCCTTCCACAGCATCTGTGACAGCAGTGCCATGATTCAGCTGGGCTTTAAGCACAAAGGATCAGTCCTCTTTACTTTTAAGCCCACACTAAGGTAACATATGCCTGTTCTCTACAATATTCATGACTGTATAAACCCATCTTGCCTGGTCCATGTAGTTTTCAAGCTGAGATTCCTACTGTATGTATTGTCCCCTTGCCTGGAAGCCATCCCAGCGCCGATCATGCGCTCCCTCCGTACCATTTCTGGTTCTTGCTGGAGATGGAGAGAGCTGCCCACAGCTTGGATCATTTCCCTTCTCCACTTTGAATAGGCAGGATGTGCAGTCAGCAACAACAAATTTCATCCCCATTAGAGATGTGGTGTTTCACTGCAGGCAGACTTTGCTGCAGCATGTCACAGCTGGTTTAGGTTGGACTGTCCTCAGTAATTGTGGTGATTAGGAAATACTGTCATCATCCTGGTTACAGCTCTTCCAACATGATCCATAAATCTGGTAAACATCAGGAGCCCCCTGGTAACCTGGGACTGTGAGACCAGGAAGTTTATAAGAGGACTCTCCTTAAGGGAGGCAGAACAGGGGAAATCCTCAAGCAATTTGCTGGGTAATTGTATTATGGGAGATGAAGAGTTGTGGTGGTGGGAGCGAGCCCAGAGGAGGCCATGGAGCTGCTGCGAGGGCTGGAGCAGCTCTGCTCTGGAGCCAGGCTGAGAGAGCTGGGCTGGGGCAGCCTGGAGAAGAGAAGGCTCCTGAAGGGGAGACCTTAGAGCAGCTCCAGTGCCTAAAGGGGCTGCAGGAAAGCTGGAGAGGGGCTTGGGACAAGGGCCTGTAGGGCCAGGCCAAGGGGAATGGCTTGAACCTGCCCGAGGGGAGACTGAGCTGAGCTCTTAGGCAGAAGCTCTTCCCTGTGAGTGTGCTGAGGCGCTGGCACAGGGTGCCCAGAGAAGCTGTGGCTGCCCCATCCCTGGCAGTGCTCAAGGCCAGGTTGGACACAGGGGCTTGGAGCAAGCTGCTCTATGGAAGGGGTCCCTGCCCATGGCAGGGGTTGGGATTGGAGGAGCTTTAAGGTCTCTTCCAACTCAAACCAGGCTGGGATTCAATGAAGTCAATCATGTTTTTGAAATGAGGTTAGTGCATGGACAGCCATTATTACACAAGGGAAGGGAACACAGAAGCCTGTTAACATTAAACCCATACTGTGTAGGAGAGGTACAAAATCACATGAATCACAAGTAGGCACAAGTCTGGGATATTTAGCATCAAAATTCCTCATAACAAAAAGCAGGAACTGAATCTCTTGCAGTTGCACACCAATGCTACAAGCCCAAAGTGCAATAATGCGAAGCAGCCTCCCTGATGATACTGGGCTCAGGATCTATCCCAAACATCAACCCCCATGTTACAGTTTCTACCAGATTTTTAAGCATTCAGGACTTCCAGAGGGAATATTAAACACAACACTCACCAAAATCAGGTACCAATATCCAAGCCACACAGAAAATATTCATCAGCCTGCACAAGCAAGAGCAGGTATAGGAAGACTTGGAATTGTTCTTTTCTGACAGATGAAGGACAGATCTCAGAGCTAACAAAGTCAGAAACCCAGGAACAAGGCAAGGAACCACATTAATAGGACAGGACACACGGTCCTGTGATGGACAGCAAGAGCATGGTGACCCTGGTTGTGGTGTGATCCTCAGGCATCAAAGGACAGCCTCAGCTTGGAGCACAGACTGTACGTCTGCTGCATGAGGCACTGGTGCCACCATGTCTGGAATACTGTATCTGCAGCTGCA